TCCGAAAAAAGAATAAAATGGGATACAACTGGAGCGGACAAGCAGGGGCGTGGACCCCATAGTTGATTGTATAATAGTGGCATAACTGAAAATCTGTATGATCTTTCTGAGCACAGAGGTCTAGCTATGATAGGAGGCCTACTGCAAATGCATCTATCTGTCCTTGTCTGGGTCCTTGCCCAACCATGTCACACACACTCTGTGTGTGTGTGCCACACCTTCCCAATATCAGTTACACCGGTCCCTCTCACTCTGTTACTGATACCGAGTATTAGATCATCAGATGGAGAAAGTTTAGACCGGTAGAGTGGCTATATGGAGTCAATATTGCCATGTAGACTACAGCACACTCAATTTGTCGAGAGATCTAGAGAGTGAAATACTATGACGTGTGGGATTTCACCAAACAGGACTCAAATTACGGTGCTTGTGTGGTTCAGGTGCATGATTTGCATGCACTTTGTGAGGTATTACTCACATCACCAACCAGCAACTCTGTTTATGCAGATTCACTTGCACCAGCGTAGCACCTTCACTTGCATTTATGTGTCATAGATGACTCTACTACAATGACATACTATATAGCTAACTGGTGTATCAGCCTTTCCTCAAGTCTATATACCAGTGTGGGAGGAAAAAGGAGAGGGGGTCCCACAGCTCTGCCCGTTCACCCGTGACGGACTGTGTCAACTCTCAACTCACACATGGACTAAGACTGTTATCACAGACAGATGCATGTCAACATGCTCTGCATTGCTGAACTGAGATGATTGACAACAATTTCTTAGTATTGGCATAGATTGTGTAGCTCATCATACTTTTAAATGTGAAGCTAGTATGCAGTGAGATAAAGGGGAGCATACTCTTAAGGCATGTTAGAATGTAGTGGGATTAAGGGGAACATCATCATATATACATGTTAGCTTGAAGTTCAGTATGTTGTGGGATAAAGGGGGACATAAGGTATGCTAGGGTGTGACAGATCCAAACTTGTGTGTGTATGTGACAATTTAGTCACGTCGACTGATGTTGATGGTATGTCATTAGAATCAGCCATGGCTACGTATTAAACTACTAGATGTATCCACTACCACAATAACGTATAGCTACTTTGCTAATTCTTCAGTTTGTAAAATGGTGTTTGGCTAATTTGGGGCTTGGAAACATGGCCATGTTACGATGCAAGGAGAATTCACAGACCTTTGACAGTGTAGTTTATATATATATATATATATATATATATATAACACATCTACGATGGCAGGTACTGTCGAGATATCTTTGAGAGAAACTACAAGACTACCATAGGCGTGGACTTTGAGGTGGAAAAGTATCGCATCCTCGGCGTCCCATTCAGCATGCAGATGTAAGTTAGTCTCACTGACATTGCTATCTTTAGCGGGACAAAGTAGGCGTTTTTTTAGCACACCTCTCTCATGCATGAGCACCAAATTCCCCCGGTCCCTGGAAATTGTGTGGCCATTGATTGCTGTGTGCAGTCCACAATAGACTTGTAAAATAACTTAATGAAGAACAGGAGGGGTATATGTTTGATGCAATGCATGATCCTTCAGAGCCTTGTTGTCCTGCAGTTGGGATACGGCTGGAGCTGAGAGGTTTAAGGGGGTCACAACAGCTTACTTCAGAGGAGCACATGGTGAGTGAAAAACAGATAATCTTTACTGCACATAATCTTTACTGCACATAATCATAACTATCTCGTTTCCCTCTCATTTCAGTTGTGATTCTTGCCTACGACATTACAAATGAAGAAACACTGGAGAAAACGAAGTAAATGTAATTACATAATATTATGCACGATGAAGTATAAACTACTATACGAAAACATTGCCCTGTAATGCTGAGCACACGCATCGATCCATACACCGACAATCGGCTGGTTCTTGCAATTCCTAAGTATGTTAAGGGAAGGACATTCCTCTTTAAAAATGCGCACAATTTATTTTAAAGTGGCAGATTCAGAGAAAAGCTTGGTACCTCTGAGTATCACGTTGCCATGTTTGTGTTTCAGGTCGTGGTTGCAGGAGGCCAGAGAGTTCTGCACGTCTACATTCTACATCTTCCTCGTCTCCACCAAGAAAGACCTCATTGTAAGTCCCCTCACATGACTTCTATACCTTCAGCTATTCTCAACAACGCATATCCCGCAGGTTAGCCTCATCATTGCGTGATTCTCGTTGTATGTTATATATAGGTGGACGATGTTGAAGAGTATAAGGTCAAGGAGAAGAGAGCGGCACAGTTTGCAGAGAGCTTTGAAGCAGAATACTGGTCAACTTCCTCAAGAACAGGTACGGTCTCTCTATCTTTGCAATTTAGACTGCATGAGCTAGGCAGTAACGCAGAGGCTTCTAAATTTCATTGGACAAGCTGCCTGGCTACTTCAGAGAGCCTTGAAAGCCCCTAGCAATGGAAATTACAGAGTTTCAGCTAACAAACCTTTTCTCTAACTGCTTTTTTCAGGTGAGAATGTGGAGGAGCTGTTCTCGAGAATAGCCAGTGTGACCTTTGAGAGGGTGATGAAGAGCGAGATTGAGGCCACCAATGCCATTCAGGAGACCACCAGCCAACTTGCACAGAACTCCAGTCTCATCAGTGAGTAATACAATGATTAATATAAAGGAGAAGGGTTATGGCGAGGGTCTCAGTAGTTTATCGCTGATGGACAGTAGGAAAGTGGCAATACCAAAAGTGAAAAGGAATATTATTTGGACCGCCAAAATCCACAAATGTAATGCGAATGTATTTTCTTCCTGCAGGACTAAAATCACCACCAAAGTCTAAGCGTCCAAAGAAACCAAGCTGTTGCAACAGATGAACACACTCAGCACCAGAATAGATTCAATACCTCCTCTATTTTATTCGCTTTTTTAGCTACGAGAATGTGTATGCACTCCACTGTGTGTATTAGAGCACCAATGTTTTCTTCAACTATTGCGGTGCGGAAGTGCGCTTGCCGCTTGGAGAAGACACCGGATGTACGTCATAAATAATAATAGGCGGGGCTCGTCTTGTGAAGGGTCACCCAGAAAATATTCTGCAGGAAAAGTAAGCCGAGAATGGAGACCCGTAGAGTAGCGAAGAGGGCGCCTCACTATCTCCGCCAACTGTACTCATCTCTGCTGGGGACGAGGGACGGGAGGAGAGAGAGACTGGTGATTCTGGGGACTGGCTGGGGCAGCTACAGCGTCCTCAAGAAGGTGGACAAGAAACGTTTCGACGCCATCGTCATCAGCCCTCGGAACCACTTTCTCTTCACCCCTCTGCTGGCCAGTACGACCGTCGGCACGTTGGAGTTCCGTAGCATCATTGAACCAGTGAGGTATATACAGCTATAGTTTTGTGACTACTCCTATGCTTGAATGATCAGTCCCATCACCTCATCTAGAAGTAGTTAGTAGAAGAATAAATCTGTTATAGTCCGAATCTAGCTATGGAAATGACTATTAGTGCTATTCTTGAATTTCGTTGCAGAAACACAGGGTTTAGAGATGAGCATCATTTCCACCTGTCCTATGCCAGTGATCTGGACACTGATAGACGTGTGGTACACTGCACCAGTAGCCTGGACCCCAACCATCAATACGAGGTGCCGTACGATCGACTAGTGATCGGTGTTGGAGCTGACACCAATCACTTCAACATACCTGGAGTCCTGGAGAACGCCTTCTTTCTCAAAGTAACTGTTTATATATACCCTTAGAGCATAGGGACTATGCTTAGAGATATAATTATCTCTGCTGCATAACTTTGTAAGAAAGAAAGAAAATCAGGAAATGGGACAGGAAATTGGAAACATTCAAAATAAGGTGTAGACAGGATATGCAACCCAACCTCTGTATATAGAAGATTGCTGATGCAATTAATTTTTTATCGGGATGCATTATTAGTGACTCTATAACCCCCAGGGATGCAGGAATATTCCCCTGAGATATCAATGCAATACTTACCTTGTTGATTGTTGATGCAATTGTAAGTTTATGGTTATGAACTGCATTATATAACTACTGGCTCCTGTTATACCTGTACCTAGGAGATTGCAGATGCGAGAAATATTCGGAACCAGATAATGGTCAACTTTGAGCTGGCGACGCAGCACGACGCAGAGCCAGAGGAGAGACGACGACTCCTGCATTTCGTGGTGGTTGGAGGCGGACCCACTGGAGTGGAGTTCAGTGCAGAGTTCTATGACTTTCTGGCACAGGTCAGTACACTGTTTTCATACATAGTGTAGCAGAGTACAAGATCTTGCAACTTCACTGTAACTGCTTCAAGCAGTGTAATTGGGTAGCTTAATGTAGTTACATACTTTGACGGATGCATGCACAAAAAATTAATGTAACTAAGGGTATATATTATGTAGCTAAGCATAGTCCAGTGTGCCCATGAGTCAGTGGCTGGGTGTTTCTGTTAGGATCTCCAGCGGCTGTTCCCAGATGAGAAGGACACGGTTCGAGTGACTCTAGTGGAGGCCAACGAGATATTGTCTGCATTTGACTCCAGACTGCGCTCCTACACTGAGCGTCTCATCAGCAAGAGGAGTGCCATGAACATTGTCAAGGCTGCCGTTACAAGTAAGCCACACATATTGGGTTAACAGAGAGCCAGAGAAGATTATAGAACCAAGTGAAAAACGTTTTCAACAATATGCATGGCTAAAGGTTGAACCTAGATTAAAGGCGTATGTCTTGCAATTTGGTGGAAGAGTGTGATTTGAATTGTTTCAGAGGTGGCAGAGAAGGCAGTGCATCTGAGTGATGGAAGTGTTCTTCCATGTGGCATGGTCATCTGGTCCACTGGAGTTGCACCCAGGTACACATGCCACCATGTGCAGACTTAGATTTGAGCCCTGCCTGCCATGGTCTAACAGAAAAGCCTGGACAGTAATGTAATTTATTTCAAAATGGGCTCCTTGCATGTTTAGATAGGTTCCTGCCACGGGATGTCAACTTAGCATCAAAACTCAAAAAGTTCGCCCTATTTTCTATACAGGCAGTTTACGAGAAAAGTGTCGCTGGAGAAGAACAGACAAGGTCAGATTCTGGTGGACTCTCACCTCAGAGTACTGGGTGACACGTCCGGCAGAGTGTTTGCTCTGGGAGACTGCGCACAGGTGGAGGGACACACTCTCCCTTGTACCGGTTAGTTGGTTCACAATCTATAGTGGACCCTTTTGGACACACTGAATAAACGACACCTCTAAAGTCCACTTGCATTGATCCGGTGCTTATACGTTATTAACCTCTGCATAAAGGAGTTTCTTGTTCCATTTACTTGGAGAGTCCATTGTGTAAACCTTTCTATGAGACTTCAACTTTCTCTTCGTTTGGTGCGATGTGAAAGACTTTTATTCAGAGTGCCAGAATTGTAAAGACAGAAGGAAGATTAGCTCCTTACTTTATATATTATACAGAATCACCGCTGCCTAGTCTGTTTCTTCTCTGCCTGTTTAGCTAATACTCACCTCTCCAGCCCAGGTTGCAGAGCGACAGGGACGGTACCTAGCCAGAGCTCTCTCCCACCAACATTCTCCAGCTAGCCCCGAGCCCGCGCCATTTGTGTTCAAGCCGTGGGGGATGCTGGCATATGTAGGGGGCTACCAGGCACTGCATGACACCCCCTACGACAAGTCACACGGTGAGCCCAACACACAGGGACCCAGGTGTATAGCACGTCTATTGGAATGGTATACATCGTTACCTGCATACATTGTGTACCACACCAGTGCACCACACACATCTTTTTGCACGGTGAAGAAGAAGAAACATGTCCTGTTTGTGAGGATGAATGGGAGAGTATATGTGGCAGTTGACTAATTAGCAAACGTCTGCAAGATCTTAATGCTTGACTGATTACAGGGTTTCACTCGTGGTTGCTGTGGCGTTCGGCATACACCACGCAACTTGGCAGCTGGCGGCTCAGGATGCAGGTACCAATTGACTGGACGAAAACATACTTTTTTGGCAGAGATACTTCGAGATTTTAGCTCTACATAATTTTTTAAAATCATCTTATCATCCTTAAAAAATATTCACATAATCAAAGATGATGTTTGGTGGTTACAAGGAGTGAAGTAACGTTGCAGTGATAAATAAAAATTGTGCATGTTTTGATGTGCACAGACGTGTGGATTAATAAGAGAATGAGGTGGGTTAAAAACAAGTGAGAGTTTTGATGGTGCAGTTGAACATGAGGCGGTGAGACGTACAGATGTAACAACAGCTGTCTTACTATCTGATACAAAACTGCAGATGTGTGGAAGTTGATGCCGGAGAAAGCGGTGTGGAGAGTGTGTGCGTGGTATACAACTAACACTGGACCAACAAAGCTAGTGACTGCAAAGCCTCAAAATCTGATACTTGTGCGTGGGTAGAAACGTTTGCCTGCAACTAGAGTCTTTTCAAGCGTCGTCTGCTGGCGCTTTTCTTGACGGACAAGTTGGCATCGAATCCCGTGAAGCTGTCGTCATCAGGTGAGGTCATCGAGCGACGTCTCAGCTGAGTCGGTTGCGTTAGAGACGGAGAATGAGGAAAGAGACAGCGACGAACTATGTAGCTGGAATCTTCGTCGATTACCCTGCGAACGTGGTGAGACCCGCTCTGCGGAGTGTTCAGGACTGGGCTCTGCATCGCCTGACGTCTCGCACTGCGACGCAGCGAGCGGCCGTTATGATACGATTGCACAGGGGTATCCTCGTCTTGAATAATCCTTCCACCGTAAGGTGAGTTTAGTCGCGTCTGTCTCGCGTGTCTCTGTCGGGAGGAGGAGACCTGTATAGGAGCCAGTGGGCTACTCCTGTGGGTCTCGGTGAGCAGCAAGGGTCGTGTGAGAGTCTGTGGAGTTTGTGTCAACTGTCTGTGCCCAGAAACCACATTCTCCTGAGATATGGGGAAAAAATCAAAGCTTTAACATTAGCACGTCACAAACGAGGATGCATGCGCGTGGTTTACGACAAAGAGATGCAAAATTCCGTTGGTTGGCTGCAAATGGTGCCCACCTTGGACTGGAGGTACTTTTCTCTCTTTCTCTGAACGTATCTGTGTCTTCGGGTCCGGAGACAGCTGTACTGGGCCAACCATCGCCACCTCCGAGACACCTGGACAACCCTAATGGTGAGAGGGAAGGTTTACAACTGTACTCACTGCAACTGTAAGTATTTACCCATATGTGTTGAACTATTATGCCATGTGGACTATTATACCGCTATGCTACATGGATTCATTGACAACTGATAAAAATTAATACAGACAGAGGTGGACTCCATATACTGTGGGCTCAGTAAGAACTATAATTATACAAGAGTGAAACAGTAAGAACCAATCACACGTTGTCTAACGCCTGGCAAGATACCAGACTATTGTAGGACAGTCAATGTGCATGCATTATCCCTGCAAGACAGGAGAGACAGGCCACACTCTAGAGCAATATCTATGGCTTATCACATTATGTGTGTGCAGAGTTTCATACAGCTACTGTTATACCTGCAGAGGAACTTCGGGTGAAGATATCTGAGGATATAGACGGAGACCTCGGGCGGCAGGTGAGTCAGAAAGTCCAGTCGAATGTAGGGGCACGCCTCCTCCCGGCTGGTAGGGTTTTCGTGTTGCTGACGCGAGAACGACGGTGTTTTGCAGGAGCGATAAAGCTGTGGTGGTCTTGCAGAGTCGGAGAAGACGAGCGTGGAGGGACGGGGCACGGGGAGGCATAGCGCGCGGTCTTTAGAGAGAGGAGGAGGAGGGGGCGGGGAGATTGGTCGTTGTTCGTCTTCAAAGTCCCCTAGGTTCGTCTCCACGTAGGCCAAGTAGGCGTAGGCTGCGTACACGGCGCCTTCGTTCATCTCTGCCTCTTCTACGCCGCAAATCTTCATTGCCGAACGATGGATCCTCTTTTGTAAAAAAAACAGCAGACGGTCCTTCTTGCTGGCCAGGCGCACACCCCTTCGCGGTTCGCGCCAATTTCGCGCCTGAACAAGTGCGCGTGCGCGATCCGCGCACGCTCAAAGATTGTCGAAACAAGGTCATGTGTGTGTATAGTGATGAAGTAGTATGGGTATACAAAGTCACACGTACACCTGTGGTGACATTGTGAGTTGTCAACCTACTAAGACTGTTGTTGAGGCGGTGCCTGCAGAGTCAGGTGGAGTATCTTCTCGGCAAAGTGTGCGGCCGAGACGGACTCGGGCAGGCCCTGTTGTACGGCAGTGGCGGGGTCTTGGTCGAACGCACCATCCCTCTCAGGGTCTTGACAGTGACCCAGCAGCGTCATCAGTCCCTCCACCAACTCCGATTCTGTCATATGCTCTCCTGGTCACAACACGAGCAGAGGGAGGCGTATAAAATAAGGGATAAATTTGGAAACTGCTACTAAAAACGGAAATCTTTTCCCTATTGCCCTTATGTAATACTGCCACATTCACTTTAACACCAATACTAGAGCCTTCAAAACAGCTACACTCAGCTATGCAAGTATTATGGCCAGCATGAAGATGTGTGCGTTTGTCACAAACTATGGACTTTCCATCTGTGTATACCCTGTCCTCCATAATTATAGTGATTCATGAGGTACTGTATATAGGCATTTGACAATCCTCTATCTACTGTATACCAGCTCAACTACAGTACAGACATTGTCCCCACTATCCACCATACCTACATACCATGTTCTTGTAGCATGGTGAGTAGGGTTGCTCTGTCGACAGAGGACCCAGGCCCCTCCCCCTCCTCGTTAGTGGTGAGGGCGTGGAATGCTTGAATGAGGTTGAGGGGAGAGAGGCCAAACGCCGGACGATGGTTGATGTACACTGCATGGGTTTGTATCATGGGGAGGTAGTTGGTTTATTCTGACTCACGTCTGATAAAAGTGGGTAGGTCTATCTCCGTAACGTACGCTCCAGTCTCGATGTAGTCACTGAACTTTATCTCGTTCAGAATGTCGTCAATCTTCAGAGAAACACAAAACTCCATATACCAAGTGGCACAAAGTTCGGCAACAAAATGCAGTGGCTATTGTGAACAGTCAGTAAAGTGTACTTGTGCTGCGATTTGTTATGTTCGAATTCATGGTTTACCTCTAGAAAATTTCTTTTGAGGTAAACCATGATTTGACAATTGCCCCAGTTTAATTCGTCACAAACGTTCTAAGTACTTATTATCATCACAAATGTGTGACTCAGTGAGTGTGTGAAACTCTACATTAGCCAAACATTACGTCTTGTTCGGAGGGGTAGAAGCCGAGGGCTCTCATGAGGTCAGGGACCTGGTCCACTGGGACGGTGGGAGATACTTGTCTCACTCCCCGCGTCTTCACCCCCTGGCTGCAAATAACAGCATCAGTCACCACCAGTCAATATGTACACAAATTATGAAATTCACACTTGTGTTCACTCACTCACTCGCAAATAATGCATTCGTTCTAGTACACACATGTACTGCATTATAACATGTGCAAGAACCACTGAGGTATAATTATAGTAAGCATGATATCTGAACACCTTAGCCTGTACGTGCATGATTTGTGTGCTTGGCTTCATTTGGACCTCTCCCTCTCCCCTCTCTCTCTCCTCTCCGTCACCTCTTGATCTGGGCGTAGTAGAAGAACTGCTCCATCTCAGAGTAGAACTCTCCGTACCGTCCTCCCTCCAGGAGGGCGTAGAATGGCTCCAGATCCTCTCCTCCAAGGTGAGACGCTGCCTCCAGGGCCCTTCACAACCACACACACACACACACACACACACACACACACAGCCTAGTCAGGTGTACCACATCCTCTGAATATGCAATATGTGCCAGACTAAACCCTATCTTATCGAGTCTAGACTGCGATGTTCCACAGTTGATGTGCGCTAAATAAAATCCAGTAAGCTACACAATTGGGACTTTACCATCGCCATACACTATACTAACTTGTGTGTCACACTAATAGATAGTAATGGAAGGGCCCCAGGCCCCTTTAGCATCTCAATTTGTCACTCTTTTGCTGCAAGCACATGGGCTACAAAAATTATCAGCTGACGTATGGGAAGATTATGCTTGGAGACGGTGGGTTAGACTCTCTTGTACAGTACAACTGACTGTGTGTCGGTGGTCCACATGTTAACAGTGCAGTCGGTCCCTCCAGCAGTGAACACATATCTCCCATCATACGATACCGCCATTGCTGTCACCTACGTAGTGGGAAGTTGGACGTCATTGTCTATGCTTTACTCTCCAGATATCCAAGAATGATCCGGAACAATTATAACAATTAACAAAGGTGTGCGAAACAACCCACTAAGTAAAGTGAAATGAACAAAAAATGCGCACACATACTTAATGGTTCAGTTAATGGTGCCACAGTTTGCAACTACCTAGAGATAAAAAACCTTCAATTGCATAGTGGCTACAGTAAATGACGTGTGTCCTACCCCAGTAGGGTGGGCAAGGAGACTCTGAGAGTTGTGAGGATTTCCGTCATGAGGCAGGAGAAGCAGTCCCACCTGAAGGAAGTACATATAATGGGGTGACGTGAGAGAATGCACACAATGCTGTGAGCCCTGTACACTATAGGGTAAAATCACTTGGGAAATGCTGCACAATTAGCGACCTTCACTTTCCTAATAGGCAACTTCAGACAACCAAGACCTCGATACACATGTATAATTATACACATACATATACACTGTAACGTATACGTACCCTGTCGTAAGTATGGAACGCTGCGTATCTTTGAATCTGCTGCTGTCCGGACTCTGAATATTTCACCGGTGATGACAAGACCTCCAGCCTACGTGTAATACATACGTATTTGATAGTTGGGTGCTGCAGTCAATATAGCCACGCTTAATCCACTGATATTTTGCACTTGTGCTCGCTCGCAAAGCATTTGCTCTGGTAATTATGCTAAAACCAGCTGACTTTCTGAGCGGGGAGCCGAAGGTTGGACCGAGGAGCATCTTGCGGCACATCTTGGTGGTGGAGTTGAGTAGTCTCAGTTTGAAACGGTCGTTGGAGAGGAGGAGGAAGGACTCCTTGGAGACCGGAGGGTACCAGGTGAGGGACAACGGGACCGCACTCTGCTCAATACGGTCGGTGCTCAGGAGACGCAGGTTGTCTGGAGTTGATCGCTCCAGGTCATACTCAACCTGGTAGGGTGTGTGGTGTGTGTTTAAATCATTATTGTGGTAAGTGTACGTTGAACAGGTGTACGATTCCGTGTGCTGTAAAGCTGCCGTGCTGACCGACAGTGTTACAGTCCTCAAACGATGAATGTTGCTAACATACATACCAGCATTCTGTCCTGGCCTAGGGAGAGGAGTCTTGGTAGTTCTGAATCCAGACTCACTCCAAACAGGAGACCTGCAGCAAAGAACACACAATTTATAGCTGACTTTACAATTATGTCGATTTCGCACAGATGCTTCACCAATCCTTCGTTTGCCTCTATTTCGCTGTCCGTTTGCCAATCCACCTAATAAGGGTGTCAACTATTTTGCATTTGTTGTAGGTACACCGGTGGAAGAAGAGACAAGCCAACCATCCTCTTTGACTATGGTTGGAGTATGGAATAGTAACATACTCTTCCTTTCTGCAAATATCCCTATCTACGTAGCTTTACTAATCCCATTGTCCCTTTGCCAATCCACCCCTTTAACGTCTAACAAGGGTGACAATGATTTTGCATTTCTTGTAGTAACGTAAGTGCAAGAATAGACAAGCCAACTATTTTGTCTATTGTTGGAGTATGGAACAGCTGTCTTCCTGCACATAACTTTACACAAAATTTAATGCTTCTCATTTTATACCTCGCCGATGTGTGTAAATTGCTAATGTAAAGAGGGTCTTACTCTCAATAGGCTGGTAGTGGGAGCGATACTTTGCCAAGAATTCCCACGTCACTGTTTCCTCCTCCTCCTCCTCCTCACCCTCCCCACCCTCCCCCGGGTCCCCACTCCCTCCCACCACCAGTTGTTTGGTGTACACAGTCACACAGTGGTCTCGGTCCTGAAGAAAGTACAGTACAATCACCTTCAGGGATCATCAGAATAGCCTCAAACATGAACTACAGATAAGTCAGGGTGTATACATAATGTCTAGGGCCTGCTACTATGTGTGAAGTTAGCCCAACTCTCGAATCACTAGTCTTCATCGTCGACACAAACTGACACTATTGTAAACACAGCTATATACTACCTCCTTCGACTATGGCTAGGTTCACAATATGTCACATTGCCCCGTCGCGCCGTGCCGCTTTGCCGCATCGCGAGGATAGAATCCATTTCCACATCTTTGCGCTGCGACATATTATTGTGACCCAGTTATGTATCATTCGTTCACTTGCCATCATTTGTACATACACACATGTGCTACTAAGATTGATCACACATGGTGTTTTAGTAGCTTGCATATTTTCCATTCGCATGCACCTGTAGGTAGCAGTACAAGTGTGTGTGGTATACATTGCCTACAGCAGTGGCCATGTAGAGAGAGTCATGGGAGAAAGAGAGATGGGAGACGGCATCCCGGGAGTAACGAAACACAGGAGAAGAGTCCTTCAACTCCAGAGCTTCAACCACCAGTACAACTCCACTGGTGAACCCCACACCTTATCAATCAACACACGCACACATCACATTCATTCAGAATGGCGGTCTCCCGACTGACCTATAAACTCTCCACGAGGGTCAAATGACGCACACTCTATGTAGTTGGGTTCCTCAAACTCTCGACTCACTAGCACCTCCCTAGAGTTTCAGAAGAAAAAGAAATGTGGGTACTTACACATGTAGCGATATGCTCTAGGCTAGGTCTCACTTGTTGTGGTAGTCCCAGAGCTGGAGGAGTGTGGAGTAGCCGGCCGTGGCCAGCCGGGGGAGACTGGGGTGGGCTGCAAGACACTGGATCGCCGAGCCATGCCCTCTGAACACCACCTGATCACACACGGATGACCAACAGACAAATCCTACATATCAACACTAAAGAGCCTATACATTAGGTAATCACAACATATTACACATCTTTGTACTCAATAACATGCCCAATTCTGTATAATTATATAAAGCAGAAAAAGTGCCTTACATATATAATTCCTAAAAAGCCTTCTGTAAGCATGTTAGAAAACAGAAGTAATGGTCAGCAATAATGCAGGCTTTGCCAGGTGTCTACAGGTGTGCAGTATGCTCATACATACAGTACAAACAGACATACGTACTTCAGTGATGGTTCCATTGACTGTGACGTGGACGAGGGAAGAGGAGGAGGAGGAGGAGGAGGAAGAGGAGGAGGAGGAGCAGGAGGAGGAGAGGGTAAAGTCGGGGACCACCAGTGGAGAAGCCTCCAGTGTGGATTGGGCTGGATAGTGCTCTCCCACACTCCCTCGGCTGAGGGGACAACACAAAGAGCGGTGTATTAGTACTATTTGTGCAACATTGCCAGTTGACGACCTTTGATAAATTTGGTCGTTTGGTGATGCTAACATGCCAGAACACCACTGCCAAATTAAAATCCCCTAATACTAGTAGGCGAATGCATGGCATTTTTGGCGAGCGGAAGCGCGCTTACAATTGGGGTCGAGTCACTCTTGTGTGTGCACAAAACAGTGAAGTAGGCCGAAACGACCCGAGCGCAGTAGACAATTCGAGTCGAGTCAAAAACAGTCAGACGACAGCGCGAATCAGGCATAATCCGGCAATCTGATTGGTCTTGCAGGAATAGGGAACAAGTGGCAATGTAGAAAAATCTCTCGCTGGACTGTGCAGCAATACTCGATAGCTTCGGAGGTGTTGCGTTTCCCCTGATTCCGCTCGATTCAGGCAGCATTATGAAAATGTTGAAATCCCTTTCGGATAAAAAGAAGCGCGTAATGCTGGAGCATGCGCAGTTGGACGACGTACGGGTACATATATATATATAGAAAAATCGCGCCGTTCGGACCACTAGGTTAGCTCGCTTCCGCTCGCCAATTACACGGCCTTGCCCAAATTGTGATGCCAGCCAATATTTCAAGATATACTGTACTTACGACGCACCCATCAGGAGAATTCTTCTGGGAGGGTATGTGGTGGGCAAACGAGATGGAGACGAGGGGGCCGCAGTCCAGCCTCCCTTCATACCAGTGGAGGAGTTTCAGGTCGGAGGAAAAGAACTTTACCAGACCTCGACTGTCGCCTGTCACCACCAGACTGCCAGAAGAGAGAGAGAGAGAAAGAGGGAGGCGGGGATTAACACAGTATGTAAAGAGGTGAAATCTATGGCGAGAGTGCAGCTATCAGCAGTGAGCCATAAACCTTTGTCCTCTAACATACATAAAAACTGATCCCCACTCAGTCACCATGTGTATGTATGTACAATGTATGTATTTGCCATTTAGCATATTTTGTCTTGTCTTTTTTCCTTCTGTTTGCTTTCATGTGCAGTGTGTGTACATATGTACCTGTGTGTGGTGGTGATGGTGGTGACTGGGTGATCGTGTAGTCTCATCAGTTTCAATGGCTTTGTTTCTTGTCTCCCTGACGATTGACAAACAACTGGCTTATATAGCTAACTGTTCATGAACGGAAAACATTAGTGGAAATGAAAGGAGAGGAAACTGAAAGGAAACGCACGCCACAAGAATATATGAGACTGTCTCTCCAAAATGAATGCATAGCTATACAGCTATACAGCTTCAAGTTCTAAAATGGACAAGGTTTCCAATTTCAAAGTTCCCACTATGCACACACTGCGGCAGTGTGTGCATAGTGACATACCACACCACGCGACGTAGTGGCGAGTCAACCTATGTATGTATGTATGAGTAAACAATGAGGTCCCAAGGAAGCAAACCCCAGTATGACTCTTTCTTCTGTGCCATATATACGTAGGTGGGATTAGAACCTGCACTATAGGCTAGCGCTCTAACAGCTGAGCCACCAGGGCAACTCGGCAGGCATGGGTTCAAATCTACAACACAACACAAGACAAAGGCAACCACTGTGCTGTGGCATACAGTATAATCTCACTCGGTATGTACCATTCTTTAGAGGAGCCCAGACCACGCCCAGTCCAAGGCTGGTAGCAGTGAGGGCGAGTCCCTCGCTCTCTGGGACAAACACTGACTGGGAGAACACTCCCACAGGCTTGTTGAAATCCTGTCAGCGTTTAAAACCAGTCACACATTATGTACATACACAGTCAACACTGCCTTTTAACTACGTGAGACGTAAAGGAACATTACAGATGACAGACACAATTTTGCAAACTTGCATTCGACGAAATTTTCGGTGATAGCCAAAGTACATATACATGAAAATCACGTCAACATTTTTGATCAGTCAGAAGATTTTTCGGGTGATTGCAACACAGTACATACAGAGACATAGGGCACATGTACAACAAACACACCTTCTCAGTGATCTGGTTTGAACTATGTGGAGCTTCTGTCCATCCTGTGAGGATGGAAAATGCATCGTGGCGAGAAAAAAAAAGAAAATTCAGTACACCCAAACAACACTTGTTTCTCAATATGTAGCTTTCAGGAATACACCGTGCCATGAAGATGGGCTAGGTGAAACTTGAGAAGGTTTAAATGGAGGGGCTTACCCAGAGGAAGAAGGTGACCTGGAATTCTCCTGTGGAGATCAGCTGAGAATGGTCAGAGGGGTGAAAGGTCAGGTGAGATTGGTGGGTGTGGTCTGTTAATTGGACGGAGCACATTGGTTGCTCTGACTGCTCAGTCCATCTCCACATGGACATTACCTGCGGTAGTATAGAACGGTAGTACTTATGCGAAGTGAAAGAGGTATAATACATATTATAGAGGGAGAGAGAAGTGAGAAGGAGAGAGAGAGGGGGAGGAAGAGAGAGAGAGAGAGAGAGAAGGGGGAGGGATGAAAGGAGAGAGAATCAGCTACCTGGGGGATTAGTAGGGGAGTAAGGCAAGGTGGAAGGAGAAGAGAAGAGGAGTGTGGAAGAAGAAGGAAGAGAGGGAGGAGACTCACCTGTGGGGACTGCGAGGAGAGAAAGCCGAGGTGGAGGGCGTCATGGGACAGAGCTACTGCCACACACCCAGACCCGAGACCATCAAAGAATGTACGAACAGGGACACTGGACAGGGATGAATGAAATGCATCTTGGCCCATCTCGCTGTCACTATCCCCATCTCGCTTTCTTCCTCCTCTATCTTGCTATGTATCTCTATTCCTATCTCGCCCCGATCTCGTTCCTATCTCCCCATCTCATTGTATTTCGCCCCATCTTCCTGCCCCTATGCTGCATGTAGGTATAGCTTACAATACCCTGAGAATGAGTCCCAGACGATAAGCAGTGGGTGGTGGCCTTGATCTCCAGTCACCAGCCATCTCTTGTCACCACTGACTCCCACACAAGTGATCGGGTTGCCCTGCATAGTGTTCACACACCGCTGGGGTGACTAGCCGTGCATACAACAGAGAAAATGCACAGGCAAGCAGCAATAAGGATACCGGACAAGGCTCTGAAATATTTTATTGCACGTAAATTGAACAGCTCACACTTTCTGGAGCAAGAAAAAGAGAAAGAGAAAGGAATTTTATAGTGGGAAACTTTTAAGGGAAGAGAACTTTCACGTTTGTTTCTGAGCAAACGGAAATTCCGTGGAGAAACTCCTCTGGGTTGGGTTGCTGGTCCAGCAATACAAATCTCCATGCTCACAAGAAGGTGGACTGCTCATAAACGTACACTCACAAACATTGTACTATCACTCCCAGAAAGTGTGCCACAATAATGGTAAACAAATCAGTGGCAGATCCAGGGGGGTTAATTGGGTTCCGCGGAACTCTTTTTGGCGTTGTGTGCGCATAGGTCGCCGGTCTCGTGCGCGCACACGAGCACAGTCGAAACGTTCTGGACAACAGAACCCCCTTTCAAAATCCTAGATCCGCCACTGCAAATGGTTTAGAATTGGCTGCATATACATGTCACATACAAACTTCACACAGATGGTGGTACGTGCGTCTTACGTGTCCTTGGAGGAGGCACTGTCGGTTGTTCTCACAGTCAAACAGGACTCCAGTGTGACCAGCAACATAGAACACCATCTGCAGCAGCAATAGACCATTGTAGACACACCGATTATACAGACAGACAAAGAGAGAGGGAGGCATACGTGAATACTGCAGAATACGGCAAAAAAACTGCAAATTGTGATTTTGCTCGCAGAACCTTTGACGTCTCACTGTAATAACTACCAATTCTTTCAATTAATTAACCACCATTTTTTTCAAGTGCTGTTTGTAAAAGTGTCTACATATGTACTGACAAATTTCCATCACATTATATACCAGCCATTATCTTTTACAGGATCATGGTGCATTCACATGAAGGGGATATATACACTCACTCTTCTGCTGTCGGTGGAGATATTGTGGACAGGGAGGGAATGATTGAAGCTGAAGCACCAGGAGAGAGACTGGTGGGAGGCAGGGAAGGAGGGAGAGACAAAGGGAGGGAGGGAAGAAAGCGAGAGGGTAGGATCCAAGAGGGATATACGTAAGAGTGAGAGAAAAGAGAGGGAGGGAGAGGAGAAGTGGACCGTTTACACAGATCAGAGAGTGAGCTAGGGCAGTGAACCTCACCAGAGGATGGTGCACGGTTGGGTCATGGTCAGAATTGACTGCGTCAGTGGGTGCTGCGGTGTCTACCACTGACGTTCCAACTTTCTCTTCGTCTCTAGCAACGTTTTCTTCTCCTTTCTCGTCACTTGTGCTAACTGTGTCTTCCCCCGTATCTGGATCCTCGCTTCCATCGCCATTTTCTCTGACCAAATCTCCTTCCCCTTCTTGCAGCGCTCCTCTCTCTTCCGTCTCCATGCTTTCTTATTTGAAATAGAGCGCACCATTGTTTGTTACCACGGTAACCGATCTAATTAAACGCCAACTTAGGGTGAAAAATTGAAACTCGTTACGGTCGAGTCGTCCTTTAGTTCGTGCTGTTTTATTCTCAGCACACGTAACTGCTCACCAGCACCACTTTTTTTCTGTAAACTCTACGCTCGTTCCTTTCTGGAGATCTAGTGGAGGAAAGATGGCATCGCCGAACCGCCGTTTCTCCATGCAAGACGTCCGCCTACCGCCCAACTTGTTGAAGGAAATTGACATTGAGCGAATGGGCAGTCTGAGCGAGGACGAGGGCGCGTTCATGGAGTTTCTGGACAGCCTGGACCTGGAGGACGTAAGAAGAGCGACATTGACTAACAATATCTATCGATGCCTGCTCGAGTATATTATGTTTACTTTAGCCCTGCTCGAGTATATTTATGTTTACTTTAGCCCTGACTAATACGCATCCCCATGTTTGCTAGACATGCTGTGAACACACTTTGGATGGTGCCTCTCCATTTATGCCCATGTGATGTTAACACTCAACACAATGCCTACAGTACATACGGTGCATACTGCATGAATGAGTCAGCACACTTATGTACTACCACATGACATAATATGAATTCCTTTGGGCAAGAATACAGATTTCCAAACAGCAGAGAAATAGATATTTGAGAGATTAATCTGTACCACCACCACTAATGGGTGTCTATTTGTGTCTCTTGGTTTGGTATGTATGTACAGTTGAAGAAAGCCCAGAGCAAGAGACAAGAGCTCTCGGACCAGATACTGCAGACTGCTGTGATAAACTGTGACAAGGAGCCGGCATTTGAGGAGAAGAAGACACGGCTGAGACTGAAGGTCCTGGAGCTGAACGACCTCAAGAACGACCACAGCAAGAGATTTGAGGAGCTTAGTAAGCACACACAGACACACACACAGAGAAACACACACACACAAACAAGCAAGCAAACACACATACCCATCTCACTCACTCTCACTCACTCCTCTCTCTCTCTCTCTCTCCAGAAACACTGACAAGCAAGGGAGACTATAACTCAGTCTTGAAAGAGCTACAAAAGTGCCTGAAACAGACAGAAAAGCAGTCAGAAGTAAGTATAATACACAGAAAACCATACAACGGCACCACCTATATATTACACTGGTATATATATACCTGGATATCCTGCCCACCAAGAGCTTCAAATTACAGTGTTTCCCCCGTAGGGGACTTGGCCCACTTACATACAGATCTCTATAGTCTTTACTGTGGTGTATACACACACTGTGTGGTATTCATGTTGTAGGAGTTGGCAGACAGTTATGTCTCTGGCTCTTCGGACATATCCGCCGATGATTTCGTGGCACAGTACCAGGAGAAACGAACCCTCTACTGGCTGAGGAAGGTGCAGGCAGAGAAAATGGAGGAGCTATTGAAGAACATGCGTCCGGTACCCGCCCCTCGGCGATCTTCCAACAACAGGCCGTCTATCCCCGCGCCCTACGTTTCACCCATGCCTCGTCCCTCCACCTCGCTCCCCGTGTCCACCCCTCACCATCCTCCCTACCTGCACGGACCCGCCCCCCCTCCCGGTGTGTATTCCCAGATGCAGAACCCGGCCCAATCCATACAACCCTATCACCAAGCACAGCGAATGCCCATCCCACAACCTGGGGTACCTCCCCACGGTCACCCCTTTAATCCTGCAGCACCGTTTGCCAGATACCCTGTCCCTTTGCAGCGCCCCGTCACACCGTACGGTAGTTACTACGCAAACCGTTACTAAACGTGTGTGCACATACAAGTATTGTATTAAAAAACATTTTCTTCACTGTATATATTAATAATTTTCTCCCTCGAAAATTATAGTGAAACTAAGATATCTTGTGTTTTATTTATCGCATAATTTTATTTTCAGTTGTGTTGCAGTAACTATATTATTATTCCGGTTACAAAGTGAAGTGTAAATATTTTAGTGCACAGAATATTTGACGGTTAATAAATACATACATGTACATGTGTGCGTAACACGCTTGTTATATCCACTTTCCCTCTTTCTCCTGCTGATCTCTATACTTTGCCCCCACCCACCCCACAAAGAACACGGACAGGACCACTGAAATGAGGAGAAGTCTGTGCATCGGCTCCGAGAGCGTTGCCAGTCTCTCTTGCTCGGTCGCCATGGCCTTCTGGCTTGCCTTCCTCTCCCTCTGCCACTTCAGTGCCTCTCCGTAGTGCATCCGGTAGAACTCGTCGAAATCGTAGATCTTTTTCGGGCCACTCCCAGACATGGCTGCCGGGTCAAAATTACGTTCGCTGTCTCTGTGATGGTGGGTGTCGTGGTGTGGACGCCGCGGGTAATCTTGCAAGAGGCCCCTGTCGTATTTACGTCGTAGCGAGTGTTGACCGAGTACCGAGTAGGCCTCTGTGATGTCGGAGAAGCGGGCGTGGGCACTCATGGAGCCGCGGTTTCTGTCGGGGTGGTAGAGCATGGAGAGTTTGTAGAACTGGTCCTTGATCTCCTGCTGTGTGGCCTTCGGAGACACGTCCAGCACGGAGTAGAGGTCCTTGTGGTGTCGGTGGGGAGTGTGGGGAGGAGAGTTGGGAGCCTGGCGAGCGCTGGAGCTGACGGAGAGGCGCCGGGACGGGTGTAAAAGGCAAGAGGATGACGTACTGGGCCTTGAGAACGGTTGCCTGCTGGGGGCGACGAGGCTAGGTCTGTGGACGGTGGTGCATGTCCTCACTAGGGAGGATGGGGAGGAGAGAGCTGCTCTGATGGTTGGTGCTTCCAGAGTGGTGCAGCCTCGGACCCCGAGTTGCTTCAGCAGCAGCATCTCCCACACTTCTTTCCTCTTGATCTTGCAGCTTGCTCTCCGATCGAAGCCACGCCTTCTTGTTTACGCGCAGGCGCGGAAGTGAAGCCACGCCCAAAAGGAAAAGAGGCGTGACCGCGAGCGACGGAGCGTGTGTGACTTCGACTCTAATTTCTGTCTGGCCGGTGGAAAAAACGAAACGAGACTGGCCCTAGCGCCTCGGGAGCCGAGGTGGAGATGTCGTTCAAACGTCTCTGCTCGGCGGCGTACTCTCGGGCCGAGAGCGTCTTCCGGTGGCCCGATAGACTCCGGTTCCTGCGCGGCTACTTCGCGATCGCCGGTGGCTGCATCGTCCACCTCACGCTCGGCACCGTCTACACGTTCGGGAACCTAGCTCCGTACATCGTCTCCTACATACGCCAGCGTTCCCACCCGGCCGAGCTCCAACCGGGCACCGCAGCGTGGATCTACGCCTTGGCCCTGGGAGGCCAGGGGTTCAGCATGTTCTTCGGAGGGCTCATGGAGAAACGAATCGGACCTCGTCTCAGCACGCTCATAGGGTGCGGGATCATGAGTCTGGGCGTCCTGCTGACCTACGTAGCGGTGCAAGTGTCGTTCTGGCTCGTGCTGTTTACGTATGGAGTTCTCTTCGGGTTGGGGGTCGGGATCGCCTACGTGGGTCCGCTGGCCTGTGCCATGCGCTGGATGCCGCGCTGGAAGGGAGTCATGGCCGGCTTGGTCCTGGCGGGGTTCGGTCTAGGCGCCCTCGTCTTTACGCCGGTTCAGACCGTCTTTATCAACCCGCGCAACAGACGCGCCGAAGACGGCATTTTTCAGGACGCCGACGTTTTGGATCGCGTCCCGTCCGTGTTTCTCCTTCTGGGCGGCATTTACATCGTGCTACAGATAGTGGGGAGTCTCCTAATAGTCAATCCGCCGGAGCCTGACACGGAGGAAGTGCTCACACCGCAGGAGAGCAATGATGAACAAGAGAGCATTGCAAGCAGAGCCGAGAAATTTTTCAGTCGTCGGAACAGCGACTCCTCCGCTGGTGACAGTCGAGAGAATTTCCCTGCCTCTCAGAACCTTGATTATTCCCCTGAGCCTGAATTGGGAAGTCCCTCTGGTGACGAGAGAGAAACAAACGAAGAGTCCAGGCTCGTTCCCACAGACCTCAACCTTCAACAAGATGTGGACAAGAAGAAAGGAGAGAGGAAGCGCCGTCGTTTCAGTCCTCACCAAGAGAACATGAGAGTGTTCTCGAAATCAAAAGAGCCTGACTTGGAGAGCTCGATTGGGTCCACTGCCTCGCTGCGCTCCTCTACCTCATCTCAGAATGTAACGTTTGACTCTAAACCGCTCCAAATGCTAAAAAAGTTAAACTTTTACTTTCTGTGGATCATGATGCTCATGGCTGGATTTGCGGTGGTTTTCACCGCCACACTCTACAAGTTTTTTGGACTTTCGTTCATTAACGACGATCACTTCCTCGCAATTGTAGGATCTGCAGCTTCAATCTGCAACTGTGCCGGGCGCATTGTATGGGGACTCATTGCTGACAAAGTGTCTTACAAATTCTCACTTGTTCTACAGTCAGGGATAATGTCCATATTTCTCCTTACTTTCTATGCCACGAGTGCAGTCGGAAAGTCCACCTACTTCATTTGGGTCTGCGTCATATTTTTCTGCATCGGAGGTGTCTTCTCCGTTTTTCCAACAGCCATTGCTCGGAGTTTTGGATCAAAATACATGAGCGTCAACTACGGACTTCTTTTCACGTCGCAGATATTTTCCGGCGTGGTGGCAGCTCTGCTGTTTACGACGGTGCAGCACGTGCTTGGCTGGATGGGAATGATATTCCTGGTGAGTGGAGTGTGCCTCATAGGGTTTGTGTTCACCCTCCTGTTTCAGCCAAAACGCTATGTTATCTTGGATCTGGGTGGAATCTAGCTTTTGTGTGAGTGTGTTCATATGGCTATCATTTCATAAACACGCAATTACCGATAATTGCGTTCTAATGCGCATGCGCTAACGAACCCCTCCCCCCACACCTTCACATGACCGTTCCCTAATGAGCCGTCGTATCCACCTCGAAAATGTCTTCACCTGTTGCAGCGGTCAAGAATCCTCACAAAGCGGGCTCCAGCGGCCTCCGCTTTGGCGTCATCCTTCGCGGAGCTAGCGCCATCGCCGGCGGGTTCCTCGTCCATCTGAGTCTCGGCACGCTCTACACCATCGGGAACCTGCTCCCGTACGTCGTGTCCTACACGCGAGCTCGCTCCCACCCTGAAAACCTCGCCGCAGCTACGGGTACGTGGGTCGCGGCGCTGAACATCTCGGGACAAGGATTGACGATGTGCTTGGGCGGTTGGCTGGAGAAACGCGTCGGACCTCGCCTGACCACGCTCGCCGGCGGCTGGCTGATGAGCGCAGGGGTCCTCGCTTCATTCTTCACGATCAAGGTGTCTTTCTGGCTATTTCTGCTGTCCTACGGACTGGTGTTCGGGCTCGGAATCGGCATCGCGTACGTGGGACCGCTGTCGTGCGCCATGCGGTGGATGCCGCGCTACAAGGGCGTAGCTGGAGGGTTTGTGGTCGCCGGATTCGGGCTGGGTGCTCTAGTTTTCGACCAGGTCCAGTCCTTATACATCAATCCTCACAACGTGAAACCAGACGAAGACGGATTTTTCAGGGACAAAGATTTGCTGGATCGTGTCCCGTTTGTTTTTCTCATTCTAGGTGGGACTTATGCTGTGATGCAGTTGGTTGGCTCCCTCTTTATAGTTAATCCACCCCACGACCTCGAATCTAGGTTGCGAAAAGACGGAGCACATAAAGCCTCTATTAAAGAAGAACAATACAAGAAGACGAAGCGGGGAAGAGAAAAGCAAGTTGATTTTTTGAAAGTAACTGATGGCACAGTGACACCAACAACTCACGAAAGTTGTCCAAGTGATTCAGCATCATCGGAAGAAGAGGTTGAAAAAGAGACTGACCCTCTAATTAGCTCGACTAACAGTATGGGCAACAATATCAATACCCAGACAGATGTAGGACCCACTGATGATAATGCAATGAAAGGCACCCACCCACTCCGTGTTATAAGGACCCCCAAATTTTACCACCTGTGGGTCATGTTTCTACTGGCTGGCTTTTCAGTCAACTTCATCTCGACTCTGTACAAGGTCTTTGGACTTAGTTTTATCGACGACGATCAGTTCCTGGCCGTCGTTGGTTCAACCAGCTCCATCCTCAACTGCGCCGGGCGCATTGTCTGGGGACTTATTGCCGACAGATTCAGCTTCAAGTTTTCCCTAGTTTTCCAGTCAGCGGTAATGACAATTTTCCTCTCTACGTTCTATGCAACCATTGTCTTGGGGAAATCTGCCTTCTTTATCTGGGTGTGCGTGATATTCTTCTGCGTCGGGGGTAACTTTTCTCTGTTCCCCACTGCAATGGCTCTCAGCTTTGGACCAAAGTATATGAGCATTAACTACGGTCTCCTCTTCACGTCTCAAGTCAGTTCAGGCATCGTGGCTGCAGTGTTATTCACAACTCTACAGAGATTGCTGGACTGGGATGGTACCATTTTCCTGGCCACTGGTATTAGCTTGGCTGGGTTTTTAGTCACTCTTGCATTTGTTTTCAGGCGATATTATTAAAGACTTATTCACTGATGGATGATTCGACCTACGTGCGCATGCTCGAGGTACTACACTCTGTTTACTGCGCATGCTTAGCCGCGGCTTCTTCCGGTCTGTACTGTAAGAGAGAGAGAGAGAGGGAGGTGTGTAGGGGGAGGACGCGACACGGGATGCGTGGAAGGCGATACTCGTCAGCTATGGAAGAAAACATCTTCCTCTTCATTCCCAACATCATCGGTACGTAACACTGTAGCACCAGCTCAATTGTTAGCTGTCGTCTCTATGTTCCAGGCTACGCCAGAGTCGTCTTGGCGCTCGTATCGTTCTATTTCATGCCCACTCATCTCTGGCTGGCCGGCAGTACCTACCTCTTGAGCGGCTTTCTGGACGCGTTCGACGGATGGGCGGCACGCAAGTTCCACCAGGGGACCATGTTTGGCGCCGTACTTGACATGGTCACCGACAGGTAGGCTAAACTCTTATCAGTAGCTAATGCTAGACTATAATTATTATTGTGGTAGGTTTATTGGTATAAACCTGTTAGTTTCAAGTAGGCTCATATAAAGTGCTAGCTTCCATTTGCACTGCAGTGTGATTTTCTTATTGTGTTTGGTCTCATGAAGAGGTGGTTCTTTGGTATGGTCTTTCTTGGGAGAAAAATAAGAGTTTTCAACGTATGGCAAACTTACTCTCAAACATGAACATACTAGTATGGTGTACAGTTGGTGTTAGTTGGTATAATCTCAGGTTTGGCCTCTGCTAGTGTCATTCTTGGCTTCCCAATGAAATTCACATCTCAGGGTTGCTACGACATGTCTCATAGTGGTCCTAGGCCACTTCTACCCGGCCTACCTCTTCTTGTTCCAGTTCCTGATAGCACTGGACATCTCCAGTCACTGGGTCCAGATGTACTCCTCCCTCCAGCTGGGAGACTCCTCCCACAAGGTCACCGACCTCTCCGCGAACCCCGTCATGAGGTTCTACTACATGCGACCGGTTCTCTTTACCTTCTGTGCTGCCAATGAGCTCTTTTTCTGCTCACTCTACGTTCTCTACTTCACTCCAGGCTTCTCTAGTGAGCACCTACACATGCTATTAATGTTCTTTTGAGTAATGTTTGTTCAGTAATTAGTGTGTAGGAAATTTCTTCAAGGGCACTTTTAACTCTGAGATGCTAACTTTAACTTCATATTACACATCCTCACAATTAAATTTCATCAGAATATACCATTTCCGCTATGTATAATTGTGGGGTTTTAAAAGGCCAACTGCATATTATTATCCCACATTTCTGAGGTGAAAATGCCATTGAAACATTAACTATATTTTACATTTCTGATTTTTTTCAGTCCCACTTTTTGGAGCAGAGGTGGGCATCTGGACTCTACTGGCCCGTGTCTGTTTCCCCATCTCCTTCCTGAAGCAGTGTGTCAGTATCGTACAGCTGGTGGTGGCCTGTCAGAACCTCGGGGGTATGGATGCCGCAGAGAGGGCACGCAAACCAACAGACAGCCGCTAGTATAGTGTAGCAGTAATATACGTCATAATGTCACTGTACCATGTATCCCTTCTTCTACACTATCCTACTTTTATTGCAACAACGGTGTTATGCGCACTAGCTGACCGCTGCTAGCCTAACCCTCGGCGCGCATGCACAGCGAGGGTTACGAGTTGGCGTGTCTGTCTGTGTGTCGACGCTTATTCTCGCACTACAGGCTACGAGGCGGCCTATCAGCGATACCAACGGCTGCAGAACTATGCGATCCTGAAATGAAACGACTGCGTTCGAGAGCGAGAAACTGGCACTGTCGCGGACCGAATTGCGTGGCCCAACCCATCAATAAGCGGTGCGCATGCGTATATATCATATTAGACGCGATCAACGCAGCTCACCCCGACCTGATCCGCTTGCTCTGTGTACTTGGAGGCACAAGAAGCCACAGCGAAGGGCGTGTATCGATTCCCGAGAGCTATCTACTACCGTAGCTAGCCCGCGTCAGACTCTCCGCGAACTACTACTAGCGGTAGACCGCGGGTAAACGCCAATAGCCCAGCCCGCGCCCTGCATTAGCGGTACTGCGCATGCGCAGTTCGCCGAGGGTTTGCACTTCAGTGCTTTTTCGTAGCCGACTATTTTGCAGCCCCACGCACCTGCGCGAGCTCGTAGAGCGGCAGCCCACTGCAGCTTGCTAAAAACATGCATGCCGCAATGACCCCAGTAACATGATGACACCAGCTGACTACCTCGGCTGGAAAGGTACAATACTCCTTGGAATACGTGGTTGGCGCCGAAAGAGCCTCTGGCGCCAAGCCATTTCTCTCTTGACACCCCTGAGTGACACTTGGGACACAGCTATCTATCGCAGCTACACTTACGTGGTTTCGCAGGTGTGACAGTTGCAGTCATTTTGCTTCGGGCCGGGAAGAGTCATCGTCATGGGGGAAAATATATTTCTCTTCGTTCCTAACATCATCGGTAGGTGACACTAGAGCGGTAGCTATGCTTGCGCGTTCTGTGTGTGCTATAATCGTATATATACATGGCTGCAGATCAGCTAAAGTTCAGACAATCCCTATCGTCGGCGGTAGCTATTAATCCAAGAATGGCTGATAATAACGGCTTAGAGAAGTGCACTTTTCTGCTCTATACACTGATGCCACAAACGTAACACCACAAATTTTTTTATAGATTACTTCAGAATCTTGCTTGCCCTCCTGTCATTCTATCTGATGCTGACACATCCTTGGCTGTCCTGTTGTATCTACCTCCTAAATGTTCTACTGGACGAGTTTGATGGAATTGTGGCACGAAGGCTCAAACAGTGCACAATGTTTGGAGCAGTGTTGGACATGATGACTGACAGGTAATGCTAGTCTGACTGGCTTGTGGCTTTTACTAATGGCAGCAGGGTTTTACCTTTGTTAACTACACAAAATTTGTATGTCTTAAGTGGAATTGATACAAGGGGTGTAGCAGCAGTATTATTGTGCCAAAACCGAGATTTTAAATCATCTCTGACTTCGCCACTGTCCTCAATAGTTGAGATATCCTAGTTTATGCTGCCTGATAGTACAAATTTATAGTGTCCCCGATGACTGTATGATTATAATGAGTGACATATTTTGTGTCCACACAGGTGTGCTGGTGGGGGCCTGTTAGTAGTCCTAGGCCACTTCTACCCGGCCTACCTCTTCTTGTTCCAGTTCCTGATAGCACTGGACATCTCCAGTCACTGGGTCCAGATGTACTCCTCCCTCCAGCTGGGAGACTCCTCCCACAAGGTCACCGACCTCTCCGCGAACCCCGTCATGAGGTTCTACTACACACCACGTGTTCTCACTGTTTTTTGCATCGGGAATGAAGTCTTTTTCATCTCACTCTACATGCTCCACTTTATGTTAGACCTTTCTGGTAAGGATCTTAGTAGAGTGAGTTCAAACAGCAAACTGCTGTAAACGGGTCATCTTCTGGATTAATATTTACTGTGTTTAGAGTCATGGTCTCTCTCTCCCAGCAACGTGGAAAGCATGGGGACTAGTGGCAGTTGCTACATTCCCAATAGCTGCCATGAAACACATCATCCACGGAGTACAGTTGATCCTGGCTTGCCAGCAGTTGGGAAGACTGGACACCATCAACAGACTTGAGAAGGTCAAATAGTTTTTCTATGTACAGCTTTCTGTTGTAAAATTATATATATACCAAGATCAACCTATTTTTGGCACAATAATTATCTTCTATATAGCGGAGTCAAGCAGATGTGAGAAAAATTAACATACGTAAACCACTGTAATAATAAAAATCTGAGGTGGTTCTTGCATCTAGCTATAATTATAGATGTGGGAGAGTGTCAGGGATATAGGGTGTGGAAGTCAGCAGAATAGTTGTTAACACCGCATTGTAGCCTGCAAACGAACTGATTACAGACACTGTGATTTTTGTACTACAGATGAGGACAGAGTTATAAATCATGGTTTGCTCCAAACACAGAACGAAAAGTGTTAGAATCTGGGCTTTCTTTTTCGTCCAGTGTATTTCGAGTTCAACTTCACATATCTATAAACAGTAGAGGAGAGAAATATCAACTCACATCATCCACGTTTACTAAATTTTGCCTTACGTCATTCCCTGTCGCTTGGCCCTCTCTTTCTTCTCCAAGATCCACTCCCTGCTCTTGATGGGGACTCTGCCCCGCCCCTTTCTCTTGAGGCTACGTCTCGCCCCAATAAACGAGGCCTGGTCTTCCCTGCTTCCTTCAACGGCATCTACTCCTAGTGCCTGTTACAGAACAAAACTCCCTCTATATCACACCTTGTCCATCACCATAAAAAAATTAGTGATAGAATGCACACTGATGATTGGTATGCATGTGCTTGTTAGTACCTAATAGACGCGTTCCAAGGCCTTCCCCTTGGCATGTACGTTAACAGGTTCGCTTCCAGAGAGTTCAACTCCCTGAATCTGGCAGGTATATATAGCTATGGTTACTACACTTGGTAAATGTGGGTACTAACTCTTCACTGGGCACTATCAATCTTTTCTAAATTTACTTTACCCCTTACGTGACTGCCACATTCCCTTAAACAGGGCCCTAGATTTACCTTTGGTAAGCTGCTAGGAGCTCCTCCAGAAAAGAGACACAAGAAAATCCTGCAACAAATAGCACCACACATTTAACATGGCTAGAAAGAGATGTCCAACTTTTTTGCTCTCGTGCTGTTGGGGTAGTCGATGACCACGCCTCCTGTAAACCCCGCCCTCATTGCCTGCTGCGTGATTAGTTCCATCTGCAAACACACACAGAACTCCGACAAGTCAGTCTATATAGAACTATGCACGAATACTTCACCTGATCTGGGTTTTCAGGATAGAACTGAAACACAGCTTTAGCACCTCTGGCCTGCACATTTATACAATATCTCAATATAAAATCATGTCTCAACATTAACGGTAAAGGGATAAAATCTCCACTTTTCATGTAGATGTCCATGTTGCCAATTCAAGCCTTGTGGCTAGAGGACTACATACTTACCATACAGGCATATAGGGAGGAAAAGAAGCTGTGCAGTCTCTTTGGAGGGTGTTGGGTCTTTCTGTCAGCATTGCAGAGCCACTGGAGGGCCGATACGCTGATGACTCCGTCGAATGTCCCGGCTCTGAACCCGAGACCCTCCCCCATGTCGTGGAGAAAGAGATCTCCTTCCACCTCCCTCTCTTGAGCTACGGCTGGAGAGAGACAGCCCAGTCTCATTCTATATCTCTGACCCTCCTTCCTCTCCTTCATCTGTCTTAGATATCTTTCCTTCCTTTCCCCCTCTCCCTCTCTCTCTGCCAGCCACACTCACCCAGCATGTGTCTACTGATGTCCACACCGACCCAGCAGTGCCCAGCTTCACTCAATACCTCACCACTCAACCCACTTCCACACCTACACGTACAAAATAATACAGTGTGTCTGTGATGTGTACATACTGTTTCCACCCAAATTGGCTCAATAAATATTTGACCATCAGGTTCAACTAAAGCATCACCTCTGCATTGCCAAGTAAGAAAATACCTACAGATTCTTTGGTAAAGTGACTAACTTCTATTGGTTTTACAAAGGGTAGGCGTAAGTGATTGTTGCTACCCACCCAACGTCTAGTATGTAGCTTGGCTGGTCGTCTGGTAGTGCAAGTAGCTCAAGTGCTCGCTCAGCCATCTGCATTTGGATCTGGATCATTCGGGAACTGGTGGAGGAATAAAATACCAGGCAGACTGAACACCAAGAACCCACACACTGAGGCAATCTTTACTTGACTGTGTATTTCCTGGACTCATCTTCATTATAAAACTGCGGGGGGGAGAATCATGCGTACGGGGAGAATCATGCGTAATCATTATATGTGCGATTTACCAGTTCAGGTGGTCCTCTGTGCTCTGGTCTTCTCGCCATCTTGCTTCGATCGACGAAAGTCTGCCTCAGCTCTTACACGTGGGCTTTAATTGGAGTAACTGCGCGTGACGAGTTCAAAGGTCAATAAATCGCGCGAGACCGACCGCAGCTAGAGGGAAAGCCATGAACGAGAGCCTAGCCGTTCTCTTCCGACTGGGGAAGGCTCTCAGGTACGCAGACTCCGTGGAATTCTTCGAGCAGTACGACGATTGGCTCCTGAAGCAAGCTGGACTCTCAACCATTACGGTATAAAACGCCGTATATACTTACGCACGCCGGCCTTCCTACCGTGCGCGCACGCAGTTCACACCTATGTAGTGTATATGCCTATTGCTAGCATTAGAGGCTTCATACTACTGTCTGTATTCTGCATGGCATGCGTTCTACATGGCGTGCTAGTATGAAGCAGAGCCCCAAGTGTTCTCTCTCATCCCCACTCAGCTAATCAACCAGAAGGAGTGCGTGCGGCAGATCTCGGAGCTGGCGAAGGAGGATTTCTCTCTCCTCGAGGCTGCCGTAGCCACCGGCTCTGGCGTACAGATGGAGCTTGGCGAGGACCTGTCGGCAAGTGTGGCTGAGCAGCTGGACGATCTCCTGGAGAGACTGAAGACGGAGAAGAAAGGACGAGTGAGCGTGGACTCTGGAGCAGTGTCAGACATGGACAGTGGGTCTGGGACGGCTCTCGAGGAAGAGGAATCCAGTGGGAACAGAGGGAAGGTTGAATGCACTTCCAGTTTTCCGTCTCATGTGGTGGAAGATGCGAGTAAGGAGAAAAGAGGTGTTGGATTCAACTCTGTCGTAAATGGGCAACCACAAGTAGAGATGAAGCACGGTTCAATGGAACGTAAGACTCTAGAAAACAAAACCTCCTCCTCTTCCTCCATCTCTTCCTCCTCATCTTCACGTCGACAATACATGAAAAGAAAGGGCGGGCTCGACACTGCGCAGCGAGAAACAAACGATAACCGGACAGATTTTTCCAGAACATTCCCAGTGAAACCAAGTGGGTCTCACAACAGTAGGCACAGTGAGCAGAGATTCAGAAGCCCCAGGGCTGAGGTAATTGAACATCCGCCACCTCACAGACGGTTCGGGGATTCGGGGAGTGGCAGATCGAAAACAGCACCTCTTGCGTCGTCTGATAAGCCAGATAGTGAAGTGATCGACAGCAGAGAAGGTTCGCCTACCGAGGGGGGACCGTTTATTACCCACTGGGGCAAGGGACGTTGGAGAAGAAACGGCAGTGGAGCAGTTCGAGACCGCGGGAGGCGGCAGTACAACCCCAATCACTACACCTCTAACCCCAGGGGGCCGAAAGTTGGGTCCCCGGGGGTTAACAAGATGCGATACCCTCCGTCCAGAGGTCGTTCGTTCGGGTACCACCCACGACCCGAGAGAGACTCTCTACAGGGTGTGGGATCAGACAAAGGGCAGGATAAGGGGCTACAACAGAAGAGAGAGGATGTAGTTGGATCTCAGCAAAAGCTCGGGAAACCTCTCGGTAATGTACAGAGAGATACATATCCACAGCAGAGACAAAAAGAGGAAAACTCGGTGGTGGTGCCTCGAGGAGAAAACTCTTCTGATGAGACTACGAAGAAGGATGTTGCACCTGATACCATGTCTTCGAAGAGCTCTGCAGCTCCAATGAAGACGACGACAGAGTTGTCTGCAAAACATGGACCTCAGTTGGAGAAGTCCCAGAAAAAACTGAGCTATGCTAGTGTTACTAGTTCGAGCAGTGGTTGCCCTACTGTGAGTGGTAAGACTGCCAGGAGTAGTCCAAAACCGCCACCTGCACCTGGGTGTCCTGATGCTGATAGCCACGAGGATAAAGGATCTACCGCTGGTGCCGTTAATACAAGTGCAGACTCTTCAAATTGTCCTACAGTTACTGTTAATACTTCCACAGCGGCCGATACCAGTAGTACAGGCCAGGTAGCTGCAAACTCTGTCACTGCTACCAAAACAATTGCCACTGGTACCAAAGAGCCCACCAATGACCCTATCACCACCACTGCTACCAAAACCACTGCCACTGCTACCAAAGGTGCCACTACTAAACCTACCACTGCTACCAAAGCTACGAAAGATGCCACTACCAAACCTATCAATGCTACAAAAGTTGCCACCGCCAATGGTGCCAAAACCACTGCCACTGCTACCAAAGGTGCCACCACTAAACCTAACACTGCTACCAAAGCTACGAAAGATGGCACTACCAAAGATGCAACCACTAAACCTATCACTGCTACAAAAGTTGCCACCACCACTGCTGCCATAGACGCCACCACTAAACCTAGCACTACTACCAAAGCTACCAAAGATGCCACCAATGAACATACGAAAGAAGCCACCATTGCAGGACCAGAAGCTAAAGACCACACAAGGCCCACAGACGCCACTGCAAACTCTATAAGTAAAGCGATTGCAGCATCGTTCAACTATAGCGAGGTTGTAGAATTTCTGCGGGAAGGTGAGTTATAACTATCGTCCTTTGTAAACTTACAGTAAACTGTCTAAGCTTTAAGTACAGTGTGTGTGATGGCGTATATACCACTTTTCTTTGTGTAGGCTGGCAAGAGGTACAGATGGAGTTAAATCACAAACCACTTCGGCACTTCGACAGCCATCACAGATCTCAGTGAATGCTACAATCATCCACCTGGTGGACTATAATCTGTCACCTTAGGCAAAAGATCTATGTGTGTGTTCGTGTGTGCACAATTTACGTATCAAGAAGAGTAATGAAATTTGAAAATCGCTATTTTCTCGCCTGAAATGGTTGGGTGATCTCAGTGAAAGATTGTCACCTCAGGTAAGTGTCGCTATGTGTACAATAGGGAAACTATAACAGAGTAATTTTAAGTCCCTGCAGATTGTAGGTGGCTAGAGTTCTGTTTTTCCTGGTTTATTCCCTGGGGTTTGAGGTTGCTTCGAGCCTCGCTTACTGGAGCTGTCCTCAGCACTACCAGTGTCAGTCCCAGCCATACTGCTCTGGTTGAGGTAGTCTTGGTAGACAGTGTAGGGATCAACTGGTCGGTGACGGTGGAAGGAAACTGGAGTCTGGAGAGCCAGAATGCTGGGATGGAACGTGTCTGGTTGGGCCTATAGAAGGAAGGGAAGGTGTATTAATGATGGCAGTTAAGGTGTGATTATACAGTCACACAACCAGTGAAACACACACTTGTACTTTCCCATTGTGTTGTGAAAAGCACAAAAGCTTTAACAGGAGATAAATTATTATGTTTCTTACACACAGGCAGTGCAAGATGAAGTGAAAAGTGCGGATTTGAGGACATGCATATATAGAATGTGGGATGTATATAGCCAGTATAATTATATACACTCCAGTGAAACTCTGAATACAGGACACCTTGGACACATTGAAAGTGTGGTTTACTCAGAAGCATCACTTATCCAGAGGTTGTACAGTACAAAATGTATTTGCATCCAGCAGAAACAAGTGCCCTTCATTCCACGGGCCCTTTTCAGAGTTTCACTGTGCTGAGTTTTTAACGAAAAAACATTGATAGTGTCCTTCATCCAGTATCCGGAGGTTGTACATTACACTAGTATGGGGCAAAAACAAATAGAGAGGTGTCCTTTATTTCATGGGCCTTTTTCAGTGTGCATAATTATGCGTTCCCACCTGATGAAAGAGTGGTGAGTGGACAATGTGGATCCCCAGACCAACAGCCACTCTCCCCAGGAACATGTCGTCTGGAGTATTGTCTTGAGGGCACATCACCCCACTCTCAGTTATCATCTCCACTGCCCGTCTACTCAGGACCATACTATAATTTACAGAGGGTTTAGAAGTACGCAGAATTTAGTTATGTGGCAGTTATGCTTTGCACCATAGCATGATGCTAAAAATTTTAACGGCTGCCAATTTATAATACACCTACCCTCCACCTCCAGTGACATAGCTATATCCCGAGGGTCTCACAGCATGATAGCCATAAACTTCACCCAGTAGAATGGGCTGGTGAGAAGAGTAGCAGGCCAGCAGTCGACGCAGCCTCGGAACACTGCTCTCAAAACAAAACACACACACAGAGATAGAGAGAGAAAAAACAGCAACTGATTTTTGCGTGGCGATTATTAAGCATGCATGGGTAAACAGTTTTACGCATGTTAGCCTGATTTTGCTTGGCTAACAGTTGTAGTACTAAAAATCAGTCTGTATGCTAGCATGGGAATGGACAGACAGCACAAATCGTGTATATACTCCCCTGAGGCAAAAACATGTTGAGAGCGAAAACTGAATGCAGTGATTCTGCAAATCTGCCAAAACTCACGAGTACCTGAGAAGCGTGTCGTCATCTGCTATGACCAGCCATTCTCTGCCTCTCAGTTCTGGGATGGCTTGAAATCTCTCAATGATTGCCATCATCTTACCACAGTGACCTAACATATAGAGCAACAACAGTGGGGGGAAGACAACTATGTAGAAAATGTTGGCGATTCAGGGGGAAATGAATTTTGTAGAGGAGCAGATTGCTAGTCACACTTTATAAATGGTCTCTGACAACAATATTTCAAAGAGAAAAATCCTGCATATATAATCACTCCGACTGAAAAAATGTCAACCTTTTCCGAGTAGCACGGCTATACTGTTCCTTTAATTTGTAGACACCTACCATGAATGCAATTTGTGAAAGCAAAATTGTAGTAGCCTGCTGTCAAATTGTCGAAGTTTCTCCCAGAGTATATACAGTGGAACCTCTGAACAAGGGACACTATGGGGCCAACAACTTTGTCCCTTGTAGAGAGGTCGTCCCTATCTCGGAGGTCAAATAATACACTAACGTATTAGCATGGGGTTGAAACAAGTGTCCTTTATAGAAAGGTCGTCCCTATCTCGGGGGGTCCCTTATTGGAGGTTCAACTGTACTGGGATGGATACATACGTACCACTCTCAGTGTTAGGAACTCCGATATCAGTAGTTAGAAACTGTTTGTCCTCCACTTCACTGTAGTAGGCAACGCTTCCCTCGGCATCTCTGGCCCACGTACCTTGCACCACTGGCACTGACGGGGAGGGGGAGGGAGAGAGGAAGAGGTGTAGAAAGAGAAAGGCAGAGCATAATTATAAAGAGATGAAGCTTAATAGGAGAAGGGCGAGATTGAGAAGGGATGGAGGAAGAGAAAAATGAGTGAGAGGAAGGGAAAGACAGAAGTGAAGAATGTCGTTCTTCATCTCCCACACTCACATCTGGTGCTATGGTACTTCTCGCAGGTCTTCACCCCAATAAACAGCTTGCTCACTTCGACGTCGCCCTAAACAACCAGTCGCATGACACGATGTTAAGAGACTTACAGTTGGCTTATATACGTACACAGCTAGGAATGTGATGGGAGTAAGCGGTGGCACAGCCCTGTGTTAGAGCAGGTTCCATGCATAGCTGTGGGACGTGGGTCAGTAGGTATCCTCCACTGTCTCCTATTGGGGGAATGGCGATGGTCTCTTGTACGTCTAGTGTCCGCATGTACTTCAGGAACAATGCCAACTACAGCAGAATGAGAAAGAAGTTAACACAGTGATATTATAGCTGAGTCATCCAAAAGAATTATCTGTGAAATCTTCATTTACACAAAAAGGGTTTTCTTTCTCTCCACACTTTCTGTTAGCTTTAGAGCAAACCTCAAACGGAGGATCAATGTTGAAATCTGGTGCAAAGAGTGCAACATTCTCTGCTGCCCTGTATCAATAAAACACACACAGCTTTTGTGCGATGATTGATTTTTAGTCCAGACCTCTTCAGTGCCGGTCCGCTCAGTAGCCAGCCAGAAGCAAAGTTTGGGTAGCTGATGCTCTCGGTACCGGTGTGGTACATGTAGTGGTGGATTATGGTCCGCTTTTGGTCTTGCAGTCCATGACCAAGGAACCAAACCTGTTAGCCAATTTCAGCAGTAGTAATCGGGACAAGAAATATCTACAGCTTGCCTTAGTATCGTCAAATCGTTTCAAGGCTGTCCGGAGGAGCTCAAAATCCACCACTGTCTCCTCGTTGGCGAAAAAGAACCAGCTTGCTTCAGGGTAATGCTCCGCTAGGCTAGGGGAGGAGCAATGTGGTCGCACACTCCGAACTACTTGCTGGTATCATACATCGTTCACTTACTGTGGAAGGAGGGGAACCACTGTCCATGTTACTCTTACTGGGAGCTCGTGGGCAAGCAGAACTGCTTGGATCTGCATGCGTTGGACAACGAACTGTGCTAATACAAGTAATCAGACGGCCTGACTTGTTGGTCAAGAATAGAGAGTTTCTCCAGCCAATTTTCTTTCTTTTCTCTGGCCCTAGCTGAATGGTAGCCGTCCGCCTGCGACAGAATCGTTACCACCAACGAGCCGACGTCTCCTGTAAGTGAACGCGAACGGTCCACCACGTGTTCATGACATAACTGTGCTGGTGTAGCACCACCAGCAGCGCGTTATTTTATCTTGACCTTCTTCTCTATTTGACGAAAGCGAAACACAAACGGCCAACAGGACTACGGAGAGACGAAGGGCGCGCAAAATCACCTCTGCAGCCATTATGAACAGTAATAGCTAATTGTGCGGTATAAAAATAATTGTAGAGGAATGACAACAAAACTATCTGTGTTCTTCTACTAGTCTTGGATAAGTGCCAAGTCTCATCTGAAGATCTCTTCGCTTCCGTTTCTTCTTCAGAATCCCCCTCAGATCTGCTCCTCCCTGCCCCGCTCCTTCCCTCCCTCCGTGCCTGCCAATTTCCCCCTCTTTCTCCTCGTCTCTCTCCTCGTCTTCCTCTCTGTCTGCATGCATCCGCCTCGGTCGCTTCACGAGTGACGACAGTGGGTCCATCTGCTCTATGTCCATATCTTCTTCTTCTTCTTCATCTCCTTCTTCGGTTAACTCTCCCTTGCTGAGCGATCTCTTCCTGACCAGCCTCCCGCTGCAAATGAGAGAAGATGCAAAACTTGCACTAAAAATAGTAATTTGTTAGTAATTCCGCATGGGTTTCTTTTGCTCTACCGTAAAAATGGTTCTCACCCACATAATTAACTGGGATCCCTTGACTGCGTCCCGCTATACAGTTTTATAAACATGGGCTCAAAGTCTATGTATGTACTATTCCCTATCATTACCCTCAGTGACAGTTAACCCACCGTAGATCCGCTGGCCCCAGGTTGGGGTTCCCATACTTTCGATAGTACTGGCTCCTCCTGGCTGATCCTGGGAGTTTCACATCTCCAGTTGTGGCCTGCCTCACCAGCAGCACCTCTGCCTTACCGTGAGGTCCCGCTAGCCACCACCTCACTCCCTCACCTCCCTCGCTGGCCTCTTTCTTCTCTGATGCCTTCTCAGCCTGCCTGCAAGAGAAGAGAGGGTCGTTAGAGGAAGAGAAAGGAAATGAGGTCGCGTAAAAAAAGGGGCGAGAAAACGAGAGTAGAGTTTATACACTGTACTGAGGTTTGGAGGCTACAAAATGTATATTGCGCCCTCACATCCATGATTCAACTAAAGGTTCTATATACATGGTCACACTAAAAAAAGCTTCTAAACGTGTATATATGTATATTATTATATGCTGACGTAAATGCCCATTAGTTGGACCTACTGATTGTTGGTCTCTCCTTCTTTTCCCTCGACCTCCTCTTGTTTCACAGCCAACGGTTGCTTTCTCACTCCATTTAGTGCCCGCTGAGCATTCTCCTCCTCCTCCCACACCACGTTACCTAATACAATCAAGTCACATGACAGTGACACGACACTTGACCGAGCTCACATGACTTGTCGTCGATCCACTCAACATTTATAGGGCCGTACAGTGAGAACAATTCAAGCACATCTTCGGTGCTCATTTCATCAACCCCATGCAGATGGATCGCCTCCCCGCGAACTGTCCCTACTGGTACTGGAGGTAAGGACTCCATCATCTTTACTGGCTGGCCCTCTGCCACCGTCAGCTCCGTTCCAAAGGTCTCGCGATGAGTTTCGAGCGTGGCTACATCTTCCTCGAGTTCCCCACCGGGTTTTTGAGAAGTTGTCTCCGTCGTCGCCGAAACTGTGTCCTCGGATTTGCTCACGTGATCACTGCTTGGTCCCTGCTGTGGCTCGCTCCTGAAATCCTCCTCCACGTCTCCTCGTATCTCAACTACGTCCACAGCCGGCGCTTTTGAGTCTTCTTCACGCTTTGCCATGATCGCGTCTCTACAACCCAGTTAACGCACACCAGTCGCACCCACCTTTTCTCGGCGACCTTCGCACTTTTACACGTGGGTTCCAAAGGTCAATGTGAACCCACGTGGACCCTTTGAGTAGAGAAAAAGGCCTGCTTTGCTTTAAAAGGTATCGGGAGGGAGGTATGGCAGAGTCTGATGAGGAGATCGAGCGGCTGTGGGAGGGAGAGGAGGAACAAATGGCCGAGGAGGACAAGGACTGGCTCATTCAGCGACTCAGGGAGAAAGATATCCACCAATAAAGCCTGTTTTTTTTTTGTTTCGTGAAACTCTTGTGATGTGGATATTTCCTTGACTGTGTGTGAAGTGTACTGCATGACTTGAAGGAGCAGCTGCGTCTGATCTCGACGTTGGGACATGGGAGTATCACCGGAGACTCAGGGCCGTTGGCACATCTCGTCTTCTTCAACAACATCGAGTCAATGTGAGCAGCTGCGCCTAGCAAAGCAGTAGGTCATATGGACATCACTGTATAACCGATTTTTTTCAGCAGGTCTAAAATAAAATGTAAGGCGAGTCCACAAACATAGGCTTAAAGATTTGTCAATGCTTCACCGCCAGATTAGCAATGTCCAACTGAAAGCATGCTATAGTTGCATACATAAGAGGTTAGGTGAGGTGTGTTTGCATTGCAGGTCCAATAGATATCGTATGGAAATGCTGATACGAAGTCTGGCCAATTCTGTCCGAGGCTCTCAGCTGCAAGTGGAGGCTCTGACACATTACCATCAGGTCTCCATACTCTCTCTCTCTCTCTCTCTTGTCACCCTCTCACCAACATCTCTGCCTCCTCTTGGATGTATGCCTTGTGACACTCTCCTCTCTCCCTTCCACCTATACACTCGCATATCTTCTTCTCTGCTTGATGTTGCTTTTCATCTCCAATGAGTTCTTTCATGTTGCTACTTATCCCAACATCCCCATCTTTTGCTCATTTCTCTTTCTCCCCCCTTTCTCTCCCCCCTCCCGTTTGTTCCAGCCAAGTGCTGTGTTGATCAGCAGTACAGGAGGTGAGAGTGGGGATGAGGAGGAGGAGGGGGAGGAGGAGGAGGTGTGTGTGGTGGGGAGTGTGGAGTATTACGTCGACTTCTGTCTCGACTGGCGAGGTATCCCCGTGAGGGAGGTGGGGGGAGGGGTCGACGGAGGGAAACGAATCGAGTGGAAACCAAATGAAGAAACGGCAGTCCTGTATCCTGCTGCTCCTTTACAGCTTCCAATCCACAATAGCATATAGTTACAGGAGAATGAATGTAAAATACGAACGAAATTTCTTATTCCCATAAATTTTCTAAGGGAGCGTGACATAATACGAAAAAATACAGATCAATTTTTACGCATATTGCATCCGTTTATCTCATTATTATTCCCTTACTGGGATTGTGGCATAATATCGATAATGTCTTGTGGGCAAGGACATTTTTTAATGCGGAACTGGCGAAAGTTGCCTCCGAGATATGAAAGCTTTCTCCCCCCCTGAAAGTGTCTGGCTATAGAGTGTGTCTGTTGGACGTCTTGACTGGTGTCTCTGGATACGGTGTGCAGGTATGGTCAGGTGTATCTGGAGCCGTTCTGGGTGGACGTGGTCGGAGAGAGGGAGGAGAGGAGACGACGGAGAATGGGGATTGCTTGCTTCAACTGTGGAGATGACCACCACATCAAGGATTGTCCCGAGGTGTCCTCTCGCTCTGTCGATCCTATCTCGTACCTTTGGCCTTCTTCCTCTTCTGTGTCCTCTCTCTCCCGTATCATCATCACTCTAACCTTTCTACTACTACACACTCACTCACTCACCAAAACACATGCACACACACGCACACCCATACATACACACCATGGCACAGCCCAAGGACCTCTTCAGAATCAATGTCAGGAGACAAGAGTACCTCGCCTCACTAGGAACCGTGGGAGCTGATAGACGGTACAGCACAATCAGTTCCAAGTACCAAAATACAAACATAACTGACATTTCATTGTGGTATTCAGGTATCACATGACGTCAGGTGACGATCGCTTCAAGAAATTTGTTCCTGGGAAAATCAGGTTTGTTGTCACTATCAAAGCGATGCTCATGGACATGACGCACTGCCCTACATCCTCCCCACGACGGTGTCCCATTCCTCCTCCCCTCCTCTTTCTCCCAGTGAGAAACTACGAAAAGCTATAGGACTAATGAATGAGACAGACTATCCTCCGTATATCTACCGCATGAGAGCCCTGGACTACCCTCCTGGATACAGGATACTGGCCAGAGAGAGAGGACTCAGGATGTATGACAGCGCTGATGGTAAGGTTTGTGTATATAGCTTGGGGGAGAGAGGGAGAGAGAGAGAGGACTCAGGATGTATGATGGTAAGATTTGTGCGGTGTGTGGCCTATGGTAGGATTAGTGGGAGGGAGATGACTTGGGATGTATGATGTAGTGAGGTGTCCTGAAATGTTGTCCTGAAGCTGTGTCCTACAGGCTCGTGAATCAGTGTCCTGACTAGTTACGGTATGATGTGTCCTAAAGCGGTGTCCTAACCTTATCGTGTGTCCTGTGTCCTTATCAGTGAGGCATATATACAGTGATCAAAACAGTTTAACGAAACAGAGAAACTGCTGTCGGCATACCTGACTACAAGTGTGCCCGCTAATAAGATCCGTCACAATGTCAATCACACTGTATAGGTGTGTAGATGTTATACCTCAGACTACACGTCTCGTCAGTGTATTACTAGTCCAGTGTATAAGGAGTGTAAGGCTCTTAACAGGGAGAGAGCAAAGGATTTCGAGACGTCCGAGGCATCTGCCAGGAGCAGCGATGGAATACAACTCTCTTTGAGAAGCGACCGTTGATTTAGTTTAGTCGGTTCATCAAGCCAATCAGTTGCCGTGTAATCTTTGTGTTGGGATAGTGTGGCTGGCACGGTGAGAGCTGTGTCATACTATATGTGGTATGTTGGTTGCGCTGCAGTCTTATGTATTAACAGTGGAACCCCTCTCTAGGGACACCCCTGAAACGAGGACACCTCTCTAATATAGGACACCCCCGAGAACAGTTCTTCAATGCCTCTGAAATGAAGACACCTCTCTATTAAGGGATACATTAATATTATGCATGAAAACTTTAACCAAATGAAATAAAATGACAGGCAGATATTCCCACAATAATTCATGATGTCATGTTCATTCAAAATCGCACGTACACACCCTCACCAACCAACCCATCAACACACACACACACACACACACAGATGCCCAAGACAAAGATAACGAGGATACAATGAAAAGAGGTAAGTGGCCGTAATCATGTTGGCTATCTTGCTAATGGGGATATATATTCTATAACCACCGCCCGGCGTGTGTCTCGTTTCAAGGTAGAGAGTGGGGGGACGCTGGACTAATGGGAAACGAACGGTGTTATACCACACGGCCAGAGATGGTTGTATATCACATGCACACTGCAGATGGCCTTATCGATCAGTATGTCCCCGTCCCCCCCGTACAGCCATTATATAATTTCACGCTTTATAAACGGCCATCATGCACATATGTTGGTCATTATGAGGGTGTAGATGGCCCAGTGCATGTCGCACAAATGGACATCGTATCATGCGTACATTTATATACCGTGTGAACATTCATGCTAGATTAAAATCCCTGCCAATGTGTATATAGAGTAATTACACATCCCCTGTTCTCATTACCTCTCCCCCTTCCCCCCCTCCCTCCTTCCATCCATCTGTCTCTCTCTTCTTCGTTCTGCACTCGCCTTCCGTTTGTTCCCTCCGCTCTCGCGCTGTCGTCTCCCCCTACTCTTCTGTTCCCATGCCCTCGCTTGTCTTCTCTCCCCTCCCCCTCTTCTCTCTCTTCCCTCCCCCTCCCTCCCTCGTCTCTCTCTCTCCCCCTCCCCCTCTTCTCTCCCCCTCTTCTCCCCTCTCTCTCTCTCTCTCCCTCCCCCCTCCCTCCCTCGTGCTCTCTCTCCCTCCCCCTCTTCTCCAGAAGACATCATAATATATCCTGGATTCAATTCTCCTGATGTTCTTCAATCTACTGCACCTTCCTATAAGGTATATACGCACACCATTATAGAGTATGGCATGAAACCTGCTAACATATATAGCACGTACAGTTAGAGTTAGTATAACATGAGTGCAAGATGCTGCACAGATCACATGTGTCTCTCCCCCACAATCATGCCTGGTGGGCTGAACAATGTATGAAGAGTTCCCAAGTGTTGTGTAATGACGTAAGTATAGTTGATGCCATCATGTGCATCTTCCATGGGATAATAACAACCGCTGTACTTATGCTCCTATCATCATAATGTATGGATGCCAACTACCGCTGTGCTTATGCTCCTATCATCATAATGTATGGATGCCAACTACCGCTGTGCTTATGCTCCTATCATCATAATGTATGGATGCCAACTACCGCTGTGCTTATGCTCCTATCATCATAATGTATGGATGCCAACTACCGCTGTGCTTATGCTCCTATCATCATAATGTATGGATGCCAACTACCGCTGTGCTTATGCTCCTATCATCATAATGTATGGATGCCAACTACCGCTGTACTTATGCTCCTATCATCATAATGTATGGATGCCAACTACCGCTGTGCTTATGCTCTATCATAATGTATGGATGCCAACTAACCGCTGTCTCTCTACATAATGTATGGATGCCAACTACCGCTGTGCTTATGCTCCTATCATCATAATGTATGGATGCCAACTACCGCTTGTGCTTATGCTCCTATCATCAAAATGTATGGATGCCAACTACCGCTGTGCTTATGCTCCTATCATCATAAGGTAGGATGCACTACGCTTGCTTATGTCCTTCATCAAATTATGGATCTAACTCGCTGTACTTATGCTCCTATCATCATAATGTATGGATGCTAACTACCGCTGTACTTATGCTCCTATCATCATAATGTATGGATGCCAACTACCGCTGTACTTATGCTCCTATCATCATAATGTATGGATGCCAACTACCGCTGTACTTATGCTCCTATCATCATAATGTATGGATGCCAACTACCGCTGTACTTATGCTCCTATCATCATAATGTATGGATGCCAACTACCGCTGTACTTATGCTCCTATCATCATAATGTATGGAGCAACTACCGCTGTACTTATGCTCCTATCATCATAATGTATGGATGTTTTTATGTCTCCAAGTTCCACGTTTCGTACACTGAAAAGACAGCGTGGAATTCCTTTGATGTCAGCTTATGTAATCGGAGGCACAGTTTATGATAAAAATCGTGGTTTTTAGACACGTTATAAACTGCCCATCAACCTTGTGGAAACTCTCAAAGGAGAATATCGCTGTACGTTTCGTGGTTTATAAGCTGCCCGTAAACCCGTGAAATCTGACGGGCTCATGTGACCAGAGACAAGCTATAGTAATCCGTGATGTATAAAGTATTAGCACCTAGTATTATAACCCCATATAAATTATTATGGACTTATGGAGGCTCTGTACACATTGATTTGTCCGTGGCTGGTTAAGGTTTAAGACCATCTCCTACTGTTGGTTAACCCTCAGTGTGCATGCAGGGTGAGAGGGGACAGTACTTGGTCTGTGTGTCTGTCTACTGCTATTCTGGCACTACAGGCTGTGAGGCGGCGAAAAATACATACCAACGGTCTCAGTTTGCATAAGGGCATGGATATTAAAATGTAGTTTTTTCTTTAAAAAATCAAGCATTTTAGAGAAGTTTGAGAGTGAATAAGCCCACGTGCTAATGAGCAGCACTTCCGAGTGCTCTCATTTGCGAATGTTTTCTCATTCAACTAAGTACGTGGGATCCTTGCGTGCATGTACTGTGTGCCATAGCACAGTGGTTTGAGGTGTGACTTTGTGTTGTGTTGTGTTGTGTTGTAGATTCGAAACCCTACCAGCTGAGTTGCCCTGGTAGCAGAGCACTCACCTAGACTGCAGAGTGTCGTGGGTTCGAATCCCACCTAGGACAGCTTCGAAAAGAAAGAGCTGTCCTGGGTGTAGTTGACTTGTTTGCCTTGCCTTGCCTTTCTACCTCGCTACCAAGTTGTTGAGACATGTACATACATTATGTCAGTTGTGAACTCTAAAAAAAGTCGTTCTTTTCACAAACATTGCTTGTGATTACATAACTGCTGGAGGACTACTTGACTATACTAGAAACTGACACATCTACTTGTGTACTTGGTTCACTGCTTCAATCCTGGGTTTTATCCTCCCCAGTTTATCTCTTCTTACCTCCTAAATTCTGATTAGCATCTCCTACGCCATGACTCTCGCCTTATGCTCTCTGTTACCTCCCTATCGTCAATCCCTCCGAGTCTATGCCGTCGAGTCTTCGAGGACTTTTTCTCCTGCCCTTGGGGGGGGGGGGGGCTTGAAGCGGGGGGCTCTTGCTTGGTTCGGAAAACTGCTTTTCTACTACTCGCGAAGTGTCGTGTGCGCTAACAACTAGGCGTTGTCTTTGTTCTTGATTCCTACAGCACTACTTCCTTCAACTGTCCACTTCACATCTCTTACACTTTTCTGTTATTCAGTCTTCTTTTCTGCTGGAACTGCTCACTGCATTTACTGTCTGGGTGCCTCGGAAACTTGTGAACTGACTGACTTGCTTAAAACTGAGTAACCTTGGGGTTGCTTCTAGAATTGTTCTCACCTTTGTGTCTTTCTTTATTTCCTTTTTCTTTCTTATCTTCCCTGTAGTCAGTGCAGTTCCTCCTTCTATTTGAGGTTAGTATTCGCCTCCTGTGTCCGTATTATTTTCCGCTACTTTGCTGTTGAGCTTTTTTCTTCTTTCTCTCTCGGGGGCTGGGCTGGGCTGGGGTGAACTGCTGCGAGCCTCTGAAGGCTCTTCGGTCACTCGCTCTCCAACTGCCTTTCTGCTAACTATCCACTGCCTCAACTGGCTGCTCGTTGGCTGTCTGCTGCCAACATCAAAGGCATTGCCCCGGTGTGTTTTAGATGTACAATAAACACGCTACCCTTTCATCTGGACCCTTCAACACACAAAAACATAAATGTATGCAATATAATGGCTCAACAACTTGGTAACGAGGTAGAAAGGCAAGGCAAGGCAAACAAGTCAACCACACCCAGGACAGCTCTTTCTTTAGAAGAAGAGCTGCCCTGGGTGGGATTCGAACCCACCCACTCTGCAGTCTAGGCGAGCGCTCTACTAACTGAGCTACCAGGGCAACTCAGCTGGTAGGGGTTCGAATCTACAACACAACACAACACACGCAAGGCAAACCTCAAACCACTGTGCTATGGCACAGTATACTCTCACTCATACATGTGTAAAGACATGTGTACTTAAAATGCCACTGCCCAGCCTATACTAATGTGGGAATTTAAACTGAGGTCATAGAGAAGCTGGTGGATGAAAGAGGCTCTGTTAATCTCAACGTTCCCCACTTCACTTTAAAGTGGGGGGACTTGCTAATTTGTGGCGTATAACTTCCAGCCTCTGTTCCTCCTACTTCCACCTACATATGGCCCTGAATCCTCCATTGATTATGTATGTAGCAGTACTAGTGCTGCGATCCCAGGTCTGTGCTAATTACTACAAGGATGAATAGGTTCCTGCTTACAGCCTCTATTGCCTTCCGTTCTAAGTAGATTCACGACCACGGAATGTATTGTATAGTGTTACTCCTACTTTACCGTTCCTTGCACTCGGCCTCACTTCAAAGGCGCCGCAGTACGTCACGCAATGCTTTGATCCCTTGTTTCTATAGTAGCTGTAGGTGCAGCGCAGTGCCTTATTTGTAGAAGGCCCCCTGTGCACGTGTGCTTGCGTTGGTCCAAAGTGTGTTTGTGTGTGCTTTTTGGGACTAAGGCGTTGGATGGTGCTTGTTTTGCTATTGTTTGTTCGTGTCGGAATGCTAGCAAGTGTGCCTTTGAACTTGCGCCACATATACTTTCAATATCCTCACGTGTTCACACACACACTGAGCATGAGTATAATACACAGATAATTTTAGGAGCTTAAGCGCAGACATTACATCTTATGTGCACGTGTGCGTAAAGTATCGTTGTATGTGTTTTTATATGGTTTCTGCGAAATTTGATATTTTCGTGACGTGTTCGACGAGAGTATGTCGATATGTCCTGTGTGTGTCTCTCAAGTTGAAACGGTGGTCGGGCGGCGGTAGTAATCCCCCCTGTGTTGTGGAGTGTGCAAAGACTTACACGTAGCCCCGCGACTTCCACCGGCCTCTCTCGCTCGCTAACCTCGCTTCGTGGGTTTTCACTATTGGAAGAAATAGCCGTGTTGCGTGTAGCTGCTGGAGTGTCTGTGCAGATCGGGTTGCAGAAATTGCGCGCTCTCTCTCTCTGGTGTGTGTGTGTGAAAGCAAACTGTCCTTTTTGAGAACGTCGTTTTGATGTGGTCGCAAGTTTGTGTATATACATTTTTCGGTCGGTGTTCGATTCAAAGATGCTCCATTATGCGGTGTTCTCTTTGTCCCCCATGACCCTGAATCGAGGAGCTCGTCAATGGAATAATATCAAAGCCGACACGACGACACGAGTGTCTCTCTCTCTGTGTATAGACCGAATGTCTCGTTTGACAGCTCTTTATTCATGATCTCTCTTGATAATATCATACTTACACACCTAACTTCTGCCCACTAAACGGGCTACTCTCCCAGCGTGGAGGTTAAAAAGAAGAAGAAGAGTCTGCAACTCGATCATGTGCAGCTCTAACTTTGTTCTTCCGTGGGACGAGACCAGTTGTAGTGGAACACATTTGAGGCAGAAAATTTCACAATTTGGAAGCAGATGCAGACTCTGCAGAGAAAGATTTCGCATACTGCTAGTCCCAACATGCCAATGATCCCCACGCAGTATTAAACTGTCACGAAGTATATCAAACTACTTTGAAAGTGTCGTGCTTGGCTAAACACACTCTTTCCTCCTTCCAGTTGGGGTGTGGGGGACCTCCTCCCATCAGCTGCACTACAACCTCAGAGGTGAGCATGTTCTCCACTCTCACCCAAGCCTACTGTAAGTTGCCTTATTGTCGGAGGAAACATTTTTCGGTCAATCATGGCCTCAAATGTGCGTGAATGCTCACACGTAGCAATCAAAAGTATTTCACCTGCTTTGTAGGCTGCATAGTAAGTTGCATGTATGCTAAACAGTCGAAATACTATCAGTAAAATTTTAATACGATCGATATGGAAATCGATTACGAAGCATTGGTAAAATCTATTGCCAGGGTCATTCTAACCGTGTGCGGTGCGGCTAAAATCTATTGCCAGGGCTGTTCTGACCATGGACTTTATTAGTGGTGTGTGTCGTGTTGCTTGGTGCGTATCCAGGGAGACAAGAACAAGGAGAAGTTGAAGCAGTGGCTGTCGTCTGCTGACTCCGCCCACCAGAAAGAGGCGGAGCCAGTCCAGCAGGAAGATGTGGACGACCTTGGAACACTCAGTGACTACGAGTTTGGTGAGATTGCACCTGTAGCCCTTGCTCTGTGTGTGTGCATGTCTCAACAACTTGGTAACGAGGTAGGCAGACAAGTCAACTACATGTACATGTTGAGGATTTTAGCATGTGGGAGTGAGGAAAAAACAACAGTAAATGGCTAAAACCCCTATAATTGTAGTGCATGCTCATTTAGCGACATGCCGTTGAATATAATATATCCGTGCTGTTTTGACAAGTTATGTACATGTACGTTAGGCTTCGAAGCGGTTGGTGTGGGCTAGATGATTAGGTCTATATGTGTATGCGGTAGTTTGCCAGGTACAGATTGTGTGCAGTGTTTGCCAGGAATATACTGTGATCTAGCCCCGCAGTGCCTGCCACATCTGGCCATTTTCAATAACCCTACTTCTCCACTCCTCTCACACTGTTTGGCTCGTCCCAGACCACACGCCAGACCTCCCCAGCCTCGCTGTAAACAATTTTACACTGATTTATGCAGATGAACGGTAAAAATGATACCCTTGAAATGAGGACACCCCTCTAATAAGGACACCATTTCTTTCCCATTTCCCCAGAAAACTGGGCTACTGGATGTATAAGGCTTAAAAATAACACATTTGCTGCTTACTCGATCCGCTCTGCTAAAGAATGCCGGGCGTTTAAATGTGCAAATTTTATCAGCAAAAAATTATGTGGGTATTGTGACATCGAGACTAGAAAACTGCTAACATATTCTCCACAAAATTTGCCGTCAAATCGCATTCTTCCCGCTCCTTCATCAACACTTAGTGCCGTAGTTGAACAACATGAACAGCTGGTTTGAGACTGTTTGCTTGCCTTTTAAGTGGTGCGCACGTACAGGAGAAAGTAGATGTGAAAGAGTGAGAATATGTAACCACTAACAGTTGGTTGCTAATGAGATTACTAATACACCACATTGTGATCATTAGAGATGGGAGATGGCCACTTAATTACTCAGCCGTGGGATAATATCCTGTAATCCAATGAGGTTAATCAGGCAAATTATTATATGGCGTGAAAGTAGCTTTTGAATGGTGCATGTTGTTTATACCATAAGGTCTGCACAGTGCTACATCAGTGGCGGCCACCCTCAGTATATGGGCTATTAGCTAACAGTCTCCACTGTTATATACATGATTGGCGGTGCACGCACAGTCAAAGTGCGGCCAAGCAGCTCGGATGTCAGATTTCTGTCTAGCTAATGGTTTGTGTACACAGGTTGCAGTTTAGAGAGAGGGAGTGTCTGTTTGCGACGTAGGTACCTTGTTGGTAAGGCCACCGGCCAGCTGATGAGTTGCGCTACCTCTGTGGTGGTATGTACTGCGTTCCGTGTGGTGTGCAGCTATCCAGTACACCACACAGATCAGGGCACTTCAGGGTGCACGGCAGTTCAGGACAGTTCCTAGCTCAATATGCGTGCGTTGCAGGTTGGCCCTGGCTCTCCTGTCTCGTCCCTTCATACACTTGGTTGTTTCTAGTGATGGCCAATTCATGATCTTGCCAATGTATATTGCTATGTGAATAATTATATCTTTAGCTGGCTAGCCTTGCGCAGGTGTGCATTAGCTCCTTTAATATTCATTTCTATGTTGCATTGCTATACTTCTCTCCACTATACGTGACGTATGTACCCGCAGTTATTGTCCCATGCGAAACAACATTGACTCACAAGTGTACAGATAAATGTGTACACAAACAAACGTTAGGCGCAAAAGTGTCTTGAAATTACTCTAGGTCAGGTTGTGATCACACAACAAAGACAGCGTTCATCGCGTGTATATAAACACCACTCGGCCGTAATCAGCGTGGGGTATCGAACGTATCACTTCTGTGTGGCCGTGGCAACATACAAGCCTGGGAAACACTGTTCGTCGCAGACTTAAAGGAATGGAAGGAATGATGTGCATTCAGTATTCTTGTATAATGAAACATTAGGCATTCAGTATCGTCTAAGACGGCATCCAATACCCTTAGATTATGGTCCAAGACATCCAAATTATAGTCTACATCGGTTTGCCATTTAATACACAGGGGGGTGTTTATATCGTGTGAGCAAAGCGAGCCTATATTATAGATGTCTGAATTGCCCTGTTTTTCTGTATGAACATCCTACCGTCGTGGCACACGGAGAGTAAACCACTATGATGCCATGTTTTATGAACCGACGAAATTTCACACAAGCGTTTGTTTGCCAATAATTTGTTGCATTTGCGCTAGTATTTTTGTGATCTTGAAGTTTAAGGTGTGTCTTTCCGCTTGCGTTGTTGCATTTCCTCCGGGTATTTCGTGATTTTAATATTTCTGTCTGCTAGAGGAGGCGGAAATGACGGCAGGCGGGGAAGAAGTTGTTGTTGGTTTCGGTCTCCGAAAACTGCTCAAAACGGTACCACGAGAGACCGACGAGGACCAAACGTCGCCACCGCCACCGCCACTACCGCCACTACCGCCACCACCACCGCCGAAACCGAAACGGAAAAAGAGGTTTTCGCTGGATTTCCCTCCGGGTCTCGTGCACGATGAGAGTGAATGCATACAGAGCCCAAAGCATTGGAAAAAGCTAAAGAAAATTCTGGAGGCCAAGAAGAAGCCGGACGGGAAAGAAATGAGAAATAGAAGGAAGCTCTGCAACCAATAGTGCTGTCCAACCACCATCACACTCATTCAATCCATATACTGTTCGAGAAATTTTTCATACATTTTGAGGACTAAAACCTAACAGATTCGCAGAGCCTAAAGAAAACCTAGTACAGCATTATACTTGGTATGCAGCTGTTGCACGCATGTTTCATCCGTTTCAAGATAAAGTTTCTCTGCATTGTCAAAGGTTGCCGTGTACGTAGTATATCTCTGCATTGAAACATGTTAGAGGTTACATCATAATTATTGTCTCTTATCTGAATGGTGCATGTAAAAATTGGGATTCCACAGTCCTCGAACATGCACTTAGGTGTCATGCTACGTAACAGTTTTGCCAATGCATTTGCAAGTCTGCTTGCATATACATTTACAATGAGATGGGAGAATAACTCTAAACCTAGGTTCACAATATGGCGCATTGCCCCGTCATGCCGTGCTGCGTCGCGTCCTGCCGCAAAGATAGAAATAGATTCTATCCTCGCGGTGCGGCAACGTGGCATGGCGCGACGGGGCAATGCGACATGTTGTGAACCTAGCCTTACACCACCACTTAGACACGGATAATGAAACACTAGTTGTCCAAACACCCCTCAACAATGGTTCAGATAACTACTTATTAAATGTGTCACAGGACAAACACATGACAATCATACTGTGTCACATGACAACGTAATGTGCTAGTTGACAGCAAGAATACCCATGTGACACTAAGCCTTTGATGTATGTGTATTGATGAGCCAAGCCTCTACTGCAGCTTACGGATAATTCCGTAAGTACAATGTTGTGTATACATGGTCTAAACATTATCGACATAATAGACTGACACATCCTTTGCTTCTCCTTTTGTATTTAGTGTCCTTAGATGCCTGTCCAGTTTGTAAAATTGCACCTGCTTAGTGAGTCATGTGATGTTAAATTAGAGACCGTATAACGCGGTAAGCGTGTGAGAGCAAAGCGGCGTTGCATAGTTGTGGGACCCCCTTCCCTTGAATTTGCTTCCCATGTGGCCAATGCATACGTATATAGGTCCGTGTTCCTTATTCTTATTACTGTGCCCATCAAGAGCTCTGCAGTGGGTCATAACGTACAGAACAAGGTGCCGCGTCAGCTCTGATGTGGTGGGGTTGGAATGTCGCAATATGCTGTGGGACTCAGCTAGCACAGTGCCAAGTCTATTCCCAGAGGGCCCTCCACGATATGAGACACACACGTGGCTCACTCTACACTATATACAGCCCTCTGCAGTGTTATACACACTACTGTGGCATACGTAAACTGCTGCTTAGTGCAGTGGGAAATGCGATGCAGGTAACCAGATACCGCATGTGTGTCCGGACCGTCCACTTTTATTCTTTTAGGTAAGTAAACACGCACTTTGCTCGCTCTCTCTCTCCGCGCCAGATTAAAGGCAGTATTGTCGGTCTGCACTTATTCTTCGTTTCCTGACTTCCCTTGAGTGCCACCGCTGGAGAATTACGGCGGTCCTTGAAGGGTTAATTTGCCCAATTACCTCGGGAGCCAAGTAAACAGCGAGGTCCTGGCCGAATCGCGTGTGAATCTCTCCTTTCTTGGGGAGTTCACCTGGCACTTCTGGCTCGGTTGCATATACTGCGGTTTTCCCGAGGTCTCGCTCTTGCGCACCACCACACATGCTTGTGAAGGAAACTCCCGGATGAAAACTAGCACAAGACACTCAATTAGTGTATATCCAGCAATTTCATGTATATACGTGCGAAGTGTGTACAGTAAAGTCTTTACTGAAACAGAAAATCTACTCACATTGACGTAACGTAAACACGGCGAAAAGGTTACGGTGATTTCAAACTTCCTCGTTCACTCTACGCCTTCTCAAAGTCTTGTGATCTCGTACAGGCCAGAGCGTTGAGGTTGACTTTGGACGTTTCAGATGTTGTGCAGAAATGAACTGTTAAAAAGGGAGCCGTGAAGAACACCCATAAATTGTTCATTTGTCGCTGGTTTTGATTGGACAAGACGTAGCTTCAAGCCACAAAGGAATGTCTGAAATCATCAGGAAATACTTTAATCCCTGGGAGGAAATTGGGGTACGTAGTTACACAGGCCTCTGCTGTGGTGAGCTCGAGAGAGACAACGCAGATATACACCCTTGAGGAAAAGCTACACAATTGCTTCCTCTGTATGGCTACATAAACTAGCCTGCATTTTTGGCGGGTGGAGTGTGATGAGACCCAGAGATAGAAAACATTCAGATAAAGAATAGACGACTAAGTAGGCTCGCTTTGCCCGCCAATCAACCTCTTCTGTATGAAATAGTACGCTCGCTCATGCAAGGCAGGCCAATTAGCTACCAGTCTGCACAGCATTTGATGTTGAAACTTCAGATGTTTTTGAGCTGAGACCTCATGCTTTGTCGGTGGAATTGTATTAATTTGTCCTACAGTGAGATCTCTTCCACACCTCCACGTTTGTCATCCCGCTGGCTAGCCACTAGCTACGGAGGAGACCGTGTATATAGATATTTGGTAAATAGGACACTTTGACTAGTATCCCTGGCACTTCGATTATCGCGTTCCAAATCAAAACGTGCTTAACCGTTTTGCAGCACCTGCTCCATTTTTGAGATTTCATTGTTATGATTATAACAAATCGCAATGAATACATACATACTTTCCATAAATTATCTCAAAACATACCAGTGAAGTGCAAAAGTCCCATTCGATGATCGATAATAATATTGTCTCCAAATTGTGAGGGTAGGGGAGGGGGGGAGAGATACAAATTGAATGGGGTACAATAAGTGGATGCACATTACAGACAACGCAGTACAAGGAAATTGAGAAGTCGACAAAAGAAGTACTGAACACATACAATGCAGGTTGAATATACACGTGGAGTGATATAAGACCATGATATGAGACGGTATCGAGAAATAGACAAATAGAAGGCCAGTCTTGTAGTGGGTAGGACTTGTCTTTTCAGTTAGTGTGCAGTTTGAGAAGATCATGAGAAGGACGAGAGAGGGGATAGATAAGCCAAACGGCATGTGTTGAGTAGAAGAGTGGTACAGAGACAGTGTGTCTGCACATGTGGTCTTTTGGGAAGTGGTGCTGTCCTAGTGGGTCTGTAATGTGCTCCCGAGTGTACTCTGCCAAATGGCCGACCACATCCAACGTTTGCCGCTGGAAGTTCAAGAGCCTTGCAATTAAAAGAGTATATACACGTGTTGAATCCGTCTGTAAGTCTGTCAGTGAGTCAGTCCGTCCAGCAGATTTCAAATAAATGAGTTCAGGTGATTATGAAGACAATGCAGTGTCACACGACGAAACAATCACACCAACAGGATGAAGGAGAAGAGCCGGCGGAAGTGATCAGACTACGGGAGGGACCACTAGACTGATGGGCACGTAGCCGCATGCGTCGAGCCTGGGACAATAGGCCCAGATTCTCTCAGACCCAGTCTGCTTCAGCACGTCTGCAACGAGGACTTCGGCAAACTCTATGTTGAGTTCGTCGTCCTTTGTTGCCGTGTAGTCCATCAGAACGATCAGTTTCGACCCAATTCTCTTGATTTCTTCTTTGCTCATGCACACCGGGTTCTGGTTGCGTAGACGGGCGAGTTCGTGGAATCGTTGCTTGGCGCGTGCCTGTCGCGAGGTGACCGAGTGGTCTTGGTAGTAGCGTCTGACGTGTCGACCTCCGCGGACCTCCTGTCGGCTCCCACTGCGAGCCCTTACTCCCTGAAGTACTGCAAGAGAGAGAGAGAGAGAGAGAGAGGAGGGGAAAGGTGGGGTAAATTATCTTGATGAACACAAGTATACTGTAAGTGCACTTAGCTAATAGACCGACTCAAAACAGTAGCTCTCAGGGGCTTCTAGGAAGTTGAACAAGTTAAGAGAAGCCCAGAAAGGTGGGTGGAAGGAAATCTTGCCAAAACCACATCCACAACAAAAGACCCTCAAGTGAAATCATCTCTCCCAGTTTGACTGTGGGGCATTGGGAATTAATCAGCCATTCCTGTCCAGTGTTGTCTGTTGCAAGGAGCCAGGAGCTACATTACACCATTTGGCTCGCTTGGGACAGTTTACAAACAGGTCAATCGTGAATTTACTTGTACAGATAAGGCGGAAAGGAAAATCACCGCGGCATGCGTGTTATGTCTGATTCTCAACAATACAGGCTTTTATGTAGTTAGTCACTTGTGGCGTTAGTCATGGGTTTTGACTAGACACGGCATAGCTCAAAGCAACCAAGAATCTGTGAATCTCATTCTATAATAGGCACCTGTGAGCCAACTATCAAGACCACAGCCCTCTGCTACACTGCATGCATACCTGTAGCATGAACCTCCCACTACAGGCATATAATAGCCTGGGTTATACACCTGAAACCCGAGACCGAGTGCAAAGATCGCGTGCATGTGGTGTGGTGTGTATGCCGCTGACTTCAAAGGAACGCGGCTGTAAAGGATGAGCGAGCGGAGCACAATGCAGTTCAAAGGCAAGTCTCCTAGTGTCAAGGGACGGGGAGTGACCGAGGGAGGGCGAAAAGAGCTGTCTCGGTGAAATACACACCAATCTCAGCGTCATTTCTATCGTGACAGACCCTGTCACTAGACCCAGAAAAATCTGTGTATTGCCCCGAATTCCAACATTCCTTGGAAATTACTGTGATATTGCTTCTGAGCATTCCCACAGATCCAAAGTGTCCCTTTCTCGCTCCTGAGGAGGTCTAGCGCCACCTGCAGACTAACTATACTGCACACTAACACAGCTATATAAGACTAGCAACATATATGGCTGGTACATAAAAGCAAGTTTGCGTGGGGCCCATAGTATGGCAGGGTACTCAGAGTTAGCGACAACATCGAGGCAAAAGATGGTAATTAGACTTGTAGCCAGCACGGAGTGGAGCCAAGTGGTCGATAACAAATCAGACCACACCACACCCGGAGCAAACAAGCGGGGCTTTGAGGACGGGGTCCAGTTTGGAACCACACCGCAAAATATGGCTAAAACGAATACAATAACAGGGTCTATCTCACCAGGAGTACGTATCTGGTTAACTGGAAGACCACTGCAAAGCCAGGCAGAGCGGTGACTTAACAAAGGGCGATGATATAGCTCCCCCGCCTCAGGCACACCCTTTGTACCATGCGGACAACAAGCAAGAGTCGCTCACAGTGAGCTTTAGAAGAGGAACACGATACCCTGGCCGAGCCAACCCCTCCAGACAGCAGCAAAGGTATTCAGGACTCAAGTAGTTTGCCATCAAGACAAATGAATCCAATTGCCCGGCATCACTGTGACATGGCCACAGGCAACGGTACTCCGCTAGTAGTATGTTTGCAATGCAAATCATTAGTTCTCTTGGTCGATTTCACTAGCCCAGCCTCCAGATGGTGCGAGAGGTATTCATGAGCCAATTACCAACTGCTGAATTCCTACACATGCTCCTCCACCTACCAAGGACTCCACGGTCCAAAACAACCTGACACTTTAGCCAAGGAAAGCAAGAGGGAGGACCATAATATAGGCAAAAGCTGTGATCTTGCAAAGCGTTCAGCCAAGGAGAGGAAGGCAGGGGTACCTTTACAGGCACACACTCCATCTGCCAAAACCCTGCGAACTGTCAGCTAAAGGAAAGGGGAAGGGAGAGGACCATATGGGCAAAAGGCCCAAAATTTAGCAGAGCATTTGGCACCACAGATATTCAAAGTTCTCAGGTCCATGAGTGTGCATACAGCCAGCATTTCTACATCCCCTTGTGTGTATATAGTTGGTAACTGTCTATTAGTATGTTTGTGAAGGAGTTCAGAGGGGGGAGAGAGAGAAAACGAAAGAGAGAGAGAAAAAGAGATATAGAACTTACAGGGATGGTTGCCGAGAGAGAGACAAGTCCGAGGGACGAAGCCCTCATCCCCGGGAGTCGTCTCAATCCACAGCCACAGAGGATCCTCCGCATTCAGGACTCTCACCTTCTCCCCCTTTGCCACAAACACCTCGTCCTCCTCTTTTGCCTCGAAATCGTGTATCACCACCAGCTCCTCGAGGAAATGCCTCTCAAACGAATCGATGGCCGGCTTGCACTCGGTCGGTCGGGGACTCCGCGACAAAGAGCCCCGTGAGGTGTCCACCAGGTTGTGGAGGGACCGTGCCGGTCTCGGATAGCGACGACTGTGGCTGTACGAAGACTCGGCTGGGTTGTACTCTATGGCGGAAGTGTACCCGCTCACCTGGGGTCGCCTAGAATCGTGCGGCGATCCGCTCCCCAGTCGGTTTCTTGCGTGGGGCGGTTGAGGACTGAATCCTGTGTGGACGCTGTATGCAGGAGCCATGTCTCCTACTTGCCCCCTATAGTACCCTTGTGGCCGTCTCCTGGTCGACATGACCGTCGCGTCCGTGTCGTAGCCGCTCTGGTAGACGTCCGTCTCGTACGCCTCTGGCTCGCTCTGGTAGCCCGCGTACTTGCGCGACGGCCGAACGTAAGTGTACGGAATGTAGCCGGCTTCTCCGGACTTCGTGAGGGCGTACACCCAGTCGTTGTTCTTGTAGAGGACCTTCACGCGCTGTCCCTTGCGGACCGGGAGCTCCTCGTTGCAGCACGGCGCGTAGTCGCGGATGGCCGTCATGCGCAGGTTGGCGGGTCGCTCGCGGGACGCCCTGCAGAGCATTTTCCCCTCGAAAGTCCCGTCGTCGGTGGCGTACCCGGACTGGTAGCCGCTCTGGTAGCCTGAGGTGTGCGTAGTGCCGCTGTCGTTGCTCGTGGATCCGGCGCTGTGCTGGTCGTGCTCCACGGGACGCGGCGAGAGCGTGTGACTGTGATGATTATGGTGGTGCGGGTGGTGGTGGGGAGGGTTCAGAAATCGGTGCTGGCCGTTCCTTCTCTGGCGATGGTGCTGGTCGCCCGAAATGGAGGCCGTCGCGAGCGCAGATGCGGAGCCGGTCTGGCGGACAATGGGCTCCTCCAACTGCTGGGTCATGGAGACGTTGCTGATCTTGCGCGGTACGATCTGGTCGAACATCTGTACGCCGGGCGGAAGAACGAAGTCGGCCTTGCGGTTCTTCCCTGCAGCAGTATAGTAAGGACATGATTGGCGGTTGTAAAAACAAACATTGCGAGCCGAGAGAGCGCAAAGTAAACCAATACCGTATCACTGCTGCAGTTTGCACGGCGTATTTAGCAATACGACTTGCATGCACCAACTAGCTCAGCTTGGAAGCTGACTGAGCGATCGCTCACCTTTCTTTTTGGACTTGTGCTGAAAGGGCGCCGGGCATATCAGAAAGTGGTGCGCCATCTCGTACAGAAATCAGTGGGGTTCGTTGCTCGTTGGTCCAGTAGAGAGGAGCCAAGTGTACGGGGAATTGTCGCTTCTCACACAAACAGCACCTGACTGAGAAAATGCTTTTCCGCCGCTCTCTCGTAGCATTTTATACCTGCGCGGTTACGCGCGCCTTCAATATTCTGCGCGCGCAAGCGAGCGCATTCAACGTCCATATAACGTAGCTACTGCGCATCGCATCACCTGAAGGAACATTCAGAACTATATAGGACAATTCTGGCACACGTCATAAGCATTACAGGCAGCAAGAGAGAATAGCAGAGAGTCAAAAGTCAGAGAGAAGAAATTCTTCACCTGGTTACCTGTATACGGGATAAAACGAAGCACACTTGAAACCAACACAGATAATCAGGCCTGTGTGTATATACACATATTGATCGTGCCACCATATTTCATGAAGCTGAATAAACAGAGCTAAAACTGGCAGAGCAACAGGCAAAGACTATTCACACCGAAATCTCCTGCATCAGGGGGCGAAATGGTTTCTGCGGCTAATGTATAGAGTTACAAGGCCGATCATCTCTCACGACCTGATACATTGTCCATTTGCATTGAGCAGTCGGTACTCTTGACTCTATCCAAGTGTGCTGGTTCTCATTTTACGGCACTCAAGAGCCTGTTTCTGTTTGGCCAATTCGGTCATTTTGTGGGAGATCATGTTCATTCTCACCACACTTGACTGGCAGGAGCAGCCAAAAGCAGCGAAACACGTAAGGACTGAGGTTCACAATTTAAAGGCCGCAATAACTATTCTACAAGACGTGCAGCATCTGTAATAATTGTTTCATAAACCTCAGTAAATCTCTGTGTATGCTGTGCTATTTATTATGAAAATCTCAAATGTATGGGCATAATGCAGGACAACCTGTGTCATCCCTATATACTAAGTACTAGTGATACCATAGCAAATGTATGGTACTAATAGCTAGAGAAATAGGTGCAAAACGTTAAACCTTGCATCATAGAGTCTGCATGTACTCAGGTAGCTCGAAAAGGTATACATACCTTCACAACGATGGAAGCAGGTGTGGAGGACTGTTGAAGTGTCTTGAGCCGTGCCCATGCAGCCTGGCACATACACACCAGCTGGAATTGCACAAGCAACACTCTACTTACACAAGTCGTTATATATAATATATACACCGTTGAAAAGTGTTCCAGTGATTCTTTGTCAATTATCATGTTTATAAATCCCCCCTACCCTGGGCAATCAAACTGCCTTTAGACACTAATTATTTTAAAACTGGCCGCAGACTTGAAAGCCACAAGTGTCAGTACCTGCACGCGGCAAATGACATTTCTCGAGAGCGCTGCCTTTAATTTTCATTCCTGGTTCAGGGAGGAATGGCATAAGGCACGGGATCAAAGGATACAGTGAAAGGGGACCTGAGCTAAAGTTTACAAATTCAAGTTCCGATGCAACTGCCAGTTCTGTAGTCGCACTACACCGGGGGACAACATACACTGTCCCCCCAACCAAAATTCACATGTTCCCTGACATGTATATACACACAGGGCAGTAGTGGCAGGCTGCAGCTCAGGCCCAGGGTTAATTATTTCCCACAGGAATTTCAATTATAGCCCATGGTGGGTGATGGGAGAGATACTGGAGCAGGACAGGATTGTCTCTGAATCTGTAGCTCCACCTGTGGAGTCCATTTGCTGAAAGGGACACAGTGTCCCAGCAGCCCACCTCCATTTCCCAGCAGGCTATCACTCCATGAAGCCAGCCTAAGACCTCCTCTCCTCTGATTGACAAACACCTCACACACTCCCCCCACTTCTCTTTCTGAATACCCACTCACCCACTCTAAATACTAAAATAGGGCTTTTAGAGGAATAGCTAAACTACTTCACTCTGAATACCAACTCACCCACTAATATTGAGTCTCTTTCAAAAGGAATAGGTTTGTACTAAACAAACTCACCCACTCTTTTTGAGAGCAAACCAAAGACCAAAAGAAACTGCCCTTTGAAAAAAGGGTTCTAGCACAGTTAGCACAGAACCACAAGTGGATTTTCACAACACAACACTAAAACCATGGTCTTGAAGAACCACTTCTTGGAAGCTGTCTAAACCGATCACGCAGCATCATACAGTGAAAGGTGTAGTAGCTTATATCAAACAGAGCATGAAAACAACAAGTGGATTTCAAACTAAAAACACACTGCTTCCATGGTTTTTCACGCACTATTACACAACCCTGCATAATACGCCCACTAAAATAAGGTATAGCACGCTAACAATCGCATAGCTACATACCTTTACAGCGTCAAATTCGATCACTGTTTCCTTTTACACTGGTGCAACATTGCGAGGTTTTGGACATCGGTGACAGCCAGAAATTAGCTGACTTGATTACAGAGTGTCCTCGATAGATTTCATTTGGATCCAAAATAGGGCACTGTCTTGTCACCCTGACTTTAAATCGTGTCACCGTTCTTGGCACCAAACTCGAACCGCATGCTAACTTTACACTTCAAAAGATGTGTACACAACGCGGTCCAGTCGGGCTAATGCCATTATCATCCTCCCTTGTTCCTGTTCTCTGAACTCATGAGTAACCTTCCACCAATACTTCAAAGCCGGTAAAACGTGTTCATTATCTCACAAACAATCACACACACGTACGTACACACTACACGATTCAATGGGAGCGCCGATAAAAGAACAAACTTGTTACACGCAAACAATTGGAATTCTTACTTGAACATGTCCAAAAATTGACAACTACACCCTCGCTAATCCCTACATAGCAGTATTGTTTGATAACCATATGCATACACACGACTATGTAACTGTACATGAACTAGGCATGCGAACAGACTGTGATATACATATATGCACATATGCTCTCGCAGAGGCTAACTCTGTACATTATTATACAAGAGTTTGTGGCGCCATCGAACCGAATGGTCAGTTGTGCATCAGTGCTGTAGTAAGGGCCAATAGTACACGCTGCTTTAAAGAGCGCATATTCTAAGAAACACACGTGAGAGCAAATTGGCGCGATCACATCTCGCCATTGTCGATGTCCGGCCCACAAAGGACCGCGAGGTTCCAGAAACACAGATTTGCACATCGTCGAGATGTATATATGCATGCATCACATGGTATAATTTTCTTCATGCGTGATGGAAGGGACAATTTGGTGGTGCCTTTTGATTGCAGCCTTTTTGTCCAGAGACCACTTATGACACACACACTCAACGTTCGATGTACATAAGCTTTTTGGAGTTGGAAGAGAGAAAAAGTGTACACTTCGCAAAAGAGGGGGAGGAGTCTGGGACAATTTTCAGGGGGGCATGTAGTACAGGAGTGTTTTTTAATAGCTGAGTGCCTTAGCACCGAGGTAACTATTCTGCTTCCCATCTCAGAAATAATACGTGCAGAGTGTGCAAGTAATCACAGCTCCTGATACATACGAGCTTTGTTCTTTGTTAATGTGCTGTTTCTGTTTCTGTTTTATTTAATGTAGGTGTGAAGCCCTCCTCCCCTCTCTCTCTCTCTTGTTTTCTACTTTCTACATGTGAAAGCGTGAGCTGTTTAGTTTTCATGGTATGTACGTCACGCTTAGGAATGTAATTATTCCGCAAGCTACAGTACGTGCAAACCTATATATCATGTGTATTGTGTATGAGCGAGCTTTCCCTGCGTTTTGTATGCCAGTATACAAGTACGTATGCCTCCCTCTTGCCTTAGAGAGTTAAAGAAACCCCACCTTTGATCCCAGTCAGTTCTGTAGTGGATAAAGGTGTTTGTAGTAAGTATATATACACCATTGGAGGTGATTCCTTTACAACAGAGCTTGATATGCGATGAGTGCTCTATGGTTTATATATAACAACCTTGGAATACTTCATCCATGGATCATATTATACTATCTGTAACATACTTAGGGTGGCATGCAGACTACGTATGAGTGCTCTATGGCTTATATATAACAACCTTTGGAATACTTCATCCATGGATCATATTATACTATCTGTAACATACTTAGGGTGGCATGCAGACTAGTATATACTTCCCAGTCGCTCAGACTCAAAACATGCCACTAGCAACCGTCACTCTGCCGTTGTCAAGCAGCTGTGTGGCATCCATTTTATACACACACACACACACACATGTGGACACAGGAGTTCTTCCATAGCGAACCGGATAATACGGAACACCTTACAAGTGCAGTGGCATAAGCTTCTATAGTTTCAGGGTAAGGATGACTTACACATACACGGAGAGAGTGTGCAGGTAATTACGGCTCCTGATGTGATTAGCAATGAATAGACAGAGCATTCCAAGTGGCACTTCATGTGGGTTACAAGCAACACACGTGTTCCTCGAATTACACTAGAGAACGAGTTGTAAGAACGCACTTTAAATTAACATCGCATTAATGCGTTCAAATTGATCGTCAATTATCTCCATCTAAGGTACTAAGAGGTTTGTAGAGCTGTATGTACCCACACGAGAGATTTAACTTTCACGTGTAAGCAATCGCTCTACATGGACTTGTGCATTAGAACGTAAAAAAGTCATCCAGAACGCTTCCACGCCCCGCTGAAATAAATCTGCATCACTAAGTATGGTTAGTATATGGGATGAGCACGGTATATACCCACATCAGCTATTGCTTACATACAGTACGCACACGCACACGCTCATACATACGCTGTTGGGAAGATTGGCCTAGTATTAATGTGTAGCACGTCTTCAACACTTAACCAGCCACGGACACATAATGTGTCCAGAGCCTCCATAAGAAATATAGGGGTTATAATACTAGGTGCTAATACTTTATACATCAATTTCTGCCTATTTAAGCAGATACCCATGGCGTCAATGATACAAGTAAGTGGCTCTGTCCTGCTACCGATGGGATGTGTGCGTATCAGCAAAGCTGCACACAAAGAGCTTAGCTCCCACAAGTATTCACAGGAGGGCGTTTCAAAATAACACATTTTACCAAGTCAGCCACTATAATATGGTGGGAATGACTACTGAGGGTGTTATTGACAAAGAGAGGCCTCCCCTCTGCTAATCTGTCATTACCACCCCAAGGTCACACCTGCACTTTCTGCCTGCTGACACAACACAGCCCAATGCCAGGTCACTATAATATATCTATAGAGAGAGGGTCTTTTATCTGCTCACATGGCATCAACTAACAATGATGACAGGAGAAATCTACTCCTGGGAACCTGCAATGGTAGTCTTATGACCAAACAGATATGATGCGATACCAATGCATGCATGCAGCATGCAAGGCAGGTTGAATAGCCACTACGAAAGTTGCTTACTTGGAGGGTTAGTAACTAACAGTAATATTATTGGCTTGCCGATGACTGCAACTACGTGCCTTCGAACCCAAGTCTACACGTGCTTAAATTGAGTGTGGCAGAAATCTGAAATGTTACTAAGAACGGAACTCAATTGCATCTTTCACTGTGCCCCTATTGTTTTGTTTACCTTTAGTAACATTTCTACATTTAGCCCTTATGATTATACTGCCACATTCCAGAGACTTCATTTATATACAATGGGCAAAATAAAAGGTGGCCCTTCCCTAGCTAGTACCATAGCTCAATAGCTTACTCAAAAACATCGTAAACCTTCCCACTCCTGAATTCCAAATTGAGTTCGACATAAAAGAATTCCCCTGCACTACAAAAGCTTTCGCGAAGCTTGATGGTTTTATAACCCACGCACACTGTACATAACATAGCCTTTGTTCCGGCAATGTAACGCTCTGAGTTTGTGAAAGGCATTTCCCAGGAAATTATAAATTGGCTTGGCTCGACAGCTAATCATATCAGAGAGAAGCAACCCAGTGTGCGTCCGGGGAGTGGAAGGAACGTGCAAATCTGATTAGACCAAAAATTACACCCAATTACAATTATTATTCCATTTACCCTCTTTCCACAACCACACCAGAGAACAGAGTACCACTGCTTTAGTCTGTCCCATACCCAATGAAGGACATATTTTGAGCAAAATTACAAAACAATGACCTCCCTCATCAACACATTCATCCACTTGTCTGTTATCTCTTTAATTAAGATTGGCAGGAAAAGCACTAATGGTAATGTAGCTGTGAGTACATTCTTTACATCCTGATGATTGTGTCTATTCTTCCCATATTGGTGTCCATTAGGTACCATTTGGTACCATTTGGTACCATTTCGTGAGGAGATTACATGGGAATGGAAAATGGACTTGGCAGAGATGCACATGGGAACATTCTTCTGGCTAGGGATGGGCCGCATAGCTTCTGCATGCTTTCACATAGGACACCGACAGACTAGGCAATATAGGACCCTTCCAGTCAGTATAATTGGCGGGGCACCCTGCAATTATGACTCAATGGGTAGCCGCCGT